ACCCACCTATTACATGTGCTCTTTGTCTTTGTCATGACCCGAGGCCATGACAGGATAAACACCGCCGGGAAGATAGCTGGGCGGCGTCGGCTCCTGGAGAAGGGATGTAGATTTAGGCTAAGGAGAAGAACATTGTTGGGAGGGAGAGATTAGACTAATTGATATTCATTGCTTAATTGATAATAGACACAATCCCATCCTTATATAGATAGTACAACTTGACTCCTAAGTAAGAACTTAATCTTATCTTATCTTATCTTATCTCTGACTAACTAATAATCTTATCTCTAACTTAATTGATATGGGCTGCCTATGGACCTCTGTCTTCCGGCCCAATGCCCATTACAATACACCCCTCCTTTTGAGCAGCTCATCCTCGAGCTGCAACATGGACTTCTAAACTCAAATGACTCCAATCTAAGATAACATAAGCCTTTTACATCTCGACTTATTAGATTAATTGGAATAGAAGATAAAGCCAATACGAAGAAATATGTTCTACTAGCAGTCGGTGGACCCCCATCCTATGTCTCGTAAAGAAAGGACGAGGCCATGCCGTGCCACAAGCCTGGACCCAATGCAACTAAGTAGGAATTCTAACGTCAACCAACGCATAGATGAAGATCGTTCCAATCAATCCAAGTCCACAGGTAGACATGTCCGTTAGTGTGCAGCAAAGGTCTACCGGGCCAACCCAACAGCCAAGCCATGGGCTGCGGCACTTGGAGCCCGCTCCACTGGATTGGCCCAAATGAAAAGTTGTGTTGGCCCATTTGAAGCAGAGGGAAAACCCTATCCTTGGCTTCTCCCTTCCGTAGCGCCACCAAAAGACGAGGATGCAAACCTGGGCATTTCTTTCTCGCCCAAGCCACAAACGCTGTTGTGCAAAATGCGCCGCCCCTCCACCCCACCAACTACCGCCGCATGTCCACCAACTGCCACCGCTAGCGGTGCTGCCTGCTGCTCCTTCCAGCAGCCAACATCCCGCAGAGAGAGCCGAAGTGGAGGTGCCACAGCCGGCAGTGTATTAGTCATACTCATCTATGTTTTTTTGCTGCACCGCCACTTCGTGCTCCACCATGCAGGCTGCCGGCGGGATCAACTGAATTGAAGGCATATCAACCGTCGGCATCATGGCTAGTCCCGTTGCCGCCTCTTCTTCCTTCTCCTTTGCCAGCTCCTGCAGCAAGGCTGCCAAGTCCTGCATGATAGCCCTCAACTCTTTGATGTCTTCCTTCCACTCCGTGATTGTAATACCCCGTATATTAAAAGATACTTAGTTTTGTAGTTTGGTTTGACTTGTTTAAAATAAAGATGTTAACAAAAATAAATAAAAGAAAATACCTTTTGAAGTAGGCCAACATGAGAAGGCCCATAAACCCAGCCCATTAGTTCTCCCCTAAAACCTAGAGAGAGGGGAACTGAATCCCACCTCCCCTCATGGTGCCGCCACCCCTCTCCCTTGCCGGCGCCTCCTTCCTCCCCTCCTCCTGTGTTCGCATCTCTCGCCTCTACAGCAAATTGCTCTCTCTAGATCTCCACCTTCATAGCTTGGATCAAGAAGCGAAGTAGAAAACGGAACGAGGAGGAGGAGAGGAGTAGAAGGAGGGGTTAGACCGGAGTCTCCCCTATTGTCTCCTCACAAGTTCTCTAAAGAAACCCTAGGTGAGGCTTATTCCCTTGTTGTATCAGTTGTTCTAGCATGGCTTTAGTGCTTTAATTCGTGGTTAGGGAAGGCTAGAGAAGGAGTTTGGGTAGTTGCGGTTCAGTTTGTTGCAGTTCTGCATGTGGGCAGATTTGCAGTGCTTCAGTGTTTCGATGTTTCGGGGCTCTAAATGTTATTTTCTGCAAAAGTGTATAACTAGGAAGTTGTAGATAATGTTTGGATCTATCTCTGACCAAAGGATGAGATTTTATCTCAAGTGGTTTAGGAGATATAATTTTTTTAGTATGACTATTGTTTTTGTGTCATAATTTGGATAGTAGTAGATTGAACTGTTTTTGGAGAGGTTAAACAGTGGAATCAGCTAGGCTGCCTATAGACAAAGTTGTAAAGGTTTTTCTTAGCTTTCCATATTGGAAAAGTACACCCTGATTGGGTGAGTAGAACTCCAGTTATGGTTTTGGTAGTGTGGACAGTCTAAAATTCTGGATAGATTCTGAAGCCTGCTTTCAAGCACAAATTAGACCATTTTTATGGCAGAAGAAAAATATGCTTTCTACATCAAAGTTGTAGGTATTGTTCTTTAGAATTTCAAAAAATATATATTTTTAGTCATAGCCTTTTCATATTTCAAGATATAAAGGTTTGAAGCAGCAGTCTTGTGTATAGTCTAAGCGGCATTCCTTGTTATTGAGTTTTGATGGGATGGGGCAGTAGGTTCACCTTTTTCATTGTTTTATACGCATGTTTGAATGTGTTTGCTGAGGTTTTGTTTGTGATTAGGTGGTGGTCCATCAGATCGTGCATGATACCAATCCTTCGTTGGAGGCAAGTGCATGACGAACTAATTGTGTGATTTATGGATTGTTTACTCTATCTATTTATATCTGGTATATTTCTACGTGATAGGTAACTGCTTATGTTCATATTATTGTTCACGCCATTTAGATTTCAAGTTGATCTTATGTGTACGATGTTATTCTTGTTTTAATATTCTGGATTCTGATTCTGCTTAAATAATTCAAGTTTCCTGCTTGCCATGGATGTGCAATATGGTTTCAATTTGGTTCTTTGATTCCGGTTTCAATTATTCAAGTACCATGCGTAGTCATGGGAGTGCAATTTGGTTCTTTATTCAAGTTCCTGTGGGTAAGCGTTGATCACGCTTACTTGGCTTTGCTGGCAAATGATAGGATGTATTCACTATTGTCCGGGATGGAAGCTACTATTTCAATTTATGCCTGCCCGGGATGGGAACTACTATCTTCTTTGACTTGGTGTTTGAAAACGTGTTTCTTATTAAAGAAAGAAAGCCTTTTGTTCATGCTTTATTGCCAATGATGTGTATATGTGTTTTCTAGTTCCATATTGTACTTGCTGAGTATTTTTATACTCACTCTTGTGTTTTATTTGGTTTTAGGTACATATTGAGACCGACATGCATGGGAGGAAAGTAGCACCCTTATATACACATTTATCTGCACACTATCAAACTATATTGCCTAGGTCCATAATGATACTTAAACTCTATCATGGTTCGGTCTTGTAATAATCTTTTAGATTTCTAATAGTTTCTTCCCCATGGATTATTAGGATGGATCGTATTGTGGGAATGATATTGTTATTAGTTTAACTTATAATTGCCTGTCGTGGATGTCCATATTTACAGGGGAGATTCTGCCCAAATTTCTAATAATTTTGGGAGTTAGTGGTTTGAGTGTATTTTGGTGTGGCACTCTAGGTACGTGGTTACCTGGGGTGTTACAGTGATGATTGTGGAGAGATATGTCACCGGTGTCATGGAGTTGTTGGACTGCTGCTCCCACTGTATGTCCAACCAACAACAGCCGTCATAGATGGCACGACCGTTGAGGTTCCAAGCATGCTCAGCAGCTGCTCGAGTTTGAAACGGAACGGAGGCCTCCACATGTGTTCCCATCTGGCGTACTTCAATCTTCCTTTCCGCTCTATAGCCATCAAACAATTGGTGAAGTAGATACTCATCCACCGGATATACTAGATGGCTCACTGTGATACGGAGAACTCTATCGGCATCGGAAGCCATGGTGAGTGGCTCTGATACCAAGTTGTCATGACCCAAGGCCATGACGGGATAAACACCACCGGGAAGATAGCCGGGCGGCGTCAGCTCCTGAAGAAGGGATGTAGATTTAAGCTAAGGAGAAGAACATTGTTGGGAGGGAGAGATTAGACTAATTGATATTCATTGCTTAATTGATAATAAACACAATACCATCCTTATATAGATGGTACAACTTGACCCCTAAGTAAGAACTTAATCTTATCTTATCTTATCTCTAACTAACTAATAATCTTATCTCTAACTTAATTGATATGGGCTGCCTATGGACCTCTGTCTTCCGGCCCAATGCCCATTACAGTCTTTACCTAAGTATGTTATAAAAATCATAGATAGAGCCAAAAGACATTGCTTAGGAGTGTCTTGCAGTGTGAATGGACACACGGCTCGCTCACTCAGAGTGGTGGGGAATGGTCTAGGCTAGGGTTAAGGAGTAGGGGTGTTGGCATTTTTGTATTCAGAGGGGTGGATCTCAGTAGTGCAATGCGATCAAAGAGCCACGTCTGCAGCCAACTTGCTCATCTCCTTCTACTGGGCCTATAGTGTTGTCTGGCCCGCCCACGTATTGTGCCTAATGGGCTTCGAGACCGAGCATATGTGCACGTCACACCAAAAAGGAATTCAGCTTTGATATTGTAGCACGTTTGTTTGGTTTCCTTTCCTCTATTGCTATATATATTTATGGATTTGATCAATGTGTCATCTGATTTTATATTGCCTAAAATTATTGATTAGATGATCAATATTTTAACTTCATTAACTCAAGTTGTTCTTCTGCCGAATGTTGAAATTATGAGTTTTGTATTCGTCCACGTGTTTCTTCATCCCGCATGTACATATAGGATTAATCATTTGGCTAGACTGCAATTCTAGCCGTATGTTCAATGGCAGTATAATTTTGGTTGATTAGAACTAACCAGATGAGACGCACTTGCATATTCAAAGGGTGTCGCATAAAATCTTAGGTTGGAAGCCTCGAAAAGTCTAATCCCCAAACTGAAGAACCATACGACTAAAACCATCAAATCCCATTGTAATATATCAAATTAGACTCAACTCCTATCGATTTGGTAACCCATCAAATTAGACTCGATTTCACTGATTTGGGATTCCGAAGGTGTTAACATGCCATAGTTTTTTTTTCCATTGCAACGCACGGGCACCATGCTAGTCATTATATATGTATATATTATCCAAATTAACCATTTGCTAAGCATTATGCTTGACTCAAATGTATAGACAATAAAGCCACTGATGATATGACGAGATAGCAAGATTGGTATTCCCTCCGTCCCAAAATAAACCAACCTGGTACTAGGATGTGTCACATGCTTAGTAGGTTGGTTTATTTTGGAATGAAGGGAGTAGGTATTAATAAAATTATAATACATAACTTTCATAGAAGAAACTAAAAATACTTACAATAACTACTGGAATTCAAATATCCATTTCCACATATGGTTATAATTACTATTAAGCAAGCCATGCATGCTTATTCCATTTATTGCTAGTTTCATAGGATCCATACATCTTCACTGCATATATACCTTCAATTATCATACTCGTTTTTCACCATTGCTACCATGCTTTTTGGAATCCTTTTTATCATCACCATTCTTTTGACCACTACTTTCACCCTTCTCAGAGTCCTCTTCATCGCTTAGCTCCTTAGAGCACTGATGCTTGGCCTGATTGTGAATATTGTGTGATTCCTCCATCACTGTCATCTTCTGTGGTTCCTCCCTAAGTGGTTGTCTTCCCGTTGTGTTTTCTCCACGGGACACTATAGTCTCCTCCTTGAAGTCTACAACAGCGAAGTCCTCCGGAATTAGAGATGGAACTCTATGGTGCTTGGCCCTTGCTGGTCTATGGCCCCAATGGGACATCTTCGCTACAATTCTAATAATTGTGAATTATTTGCTGTATAATTGAATTGTGTTCTTTATGTGCAACATAGCCTGCCTATTTATAGGGATACCGATAAGTATAACGATGCACAAAGTGAACTGATTGTTACGCACGCGATCAATAGGTCATATGCCATCTAGCCAGGCTTGCGTGGATCCTTTGTTCGATAAGTTCAGATAAGTATGAAAAAGTTTGTATACGTGGTTCCTTTGTTTCATTTGTTTGGATAAGTGCACAAAAGGAAATATGACAAAATGCATGTGTGCTTTGAAACAAACAGATTTTCTTCCATGCTACAAGATAATGATTTGTATGAGAAAGGTAGATGATACAGACATGTGGCATTTGTTTGCTTACCAGTTTGGGCATGCAAAGTGAATGCTATGAAACTCATGCGTATCCTATAAAACTATTGTGCACTTTCACACTGCTATTTTTTCGTGAAGCAAGTTGTAAGTAATGCAAGGGCAAGTGACTTTACAAAGGATAGACAGATGATATGGCATATAGATATATATTAATTCCTTGGTTGTTAGCAACAAGCAAAGGAAATTAGGTTTTGCTTAGAAGTAAGGAGATTAACTTAAACATTTGTCATGTTTACAATGGCAGAGAGGATGCTCTATGGAGTTAAAAAATATGAATCTACAAATTATGGATATGAAGCAAAACACCCCTTTAACCAAGCATTCCTAATACTTGGCGAAGTAGACCATCCATCAATCTAGATTTGGATGTGTCTTGGGATCCTGATCTTTCGGTGACAAAAGATAACTACGATTTGGTCGAGAATATGTTAACAATCAAACTACAAATGAACGAGACATCATGTTGCGCCTTACCTGATTGATATATCCACTCAAACATGTTTCTAGTCAACCATAATCCCTGCAACCAATAGAAGAATAAACAAGTATAATATGAGAAGTAATATGAAATTGCAAACAGGAAATAATCACACGATAATTTGGGGTTCCAACCTATGTGATTTTGGTTTCGAGGGCTCCCGTGTACTTATGATAATAATATATCATGAAGGAATAATGTTAGAGTAAGGCTCCATTTGAATGTGCTGCAGGCTGAAGATTATCACCGGCATGAAAACGAGATGAGTCATTAGCGTGTGATTAATTAAGTATTAGCTATTAACTTGAAAAATAGATTTATTTGTTTATAAAAGAAACTTTTATATAGAAAGTTTAGTTTTTAAATAACCTAGTATAATTCAAAGGTAATTTTTGGGATGGGGCACCATTGTTGAGCCCAGAAATTCACGAACCAGAATTTCTAAGCTGAATGTGCATTAAAACCCCTGTCCAGGATCAGCCAAGGTACACAAACGACAATTGTTGACATACAGATCCACGTCTTACAAAAATATAAAAGATTACAAATGCAGCGAAAAAAATAAAGACGAGCTCAACTTGAAAGCTTGACTCCTGCAGCGGGGCGACTTCACTCCACAGGCATCCTTGACGGCAGCGACGAAACCAACTTCTCCGAGAAAGCTCCAACTGGCAAGAACTTCAGCTCTAGTGTGGGGAAGAGAGAGCAAGACTGCTATCCATTGTACTCAACAAGTCATACCGGAAGAGGAGGTATGATGTAAGATATAACCAAAGGAGGCTAAAGGTTCATTTGCATAAAGCAGGCATTTAAGAACATAAGTTGAAAGAAGTAAAACAGTTGAGGTAAATTAAGCAATATTAATCATCACTGTCCAACGCTACACCATGTTGCAATAGGCCCAACCAACCACCTGAACTACACTAGTTCATTAAACCAATTATTAAGGATGGGATTAATCACGGTGAATATGGTTGATCGCTCATAACCGCAGGCATGGCTATTCGAATAGTTTTACTTTGGCCAGAGATGTACAACTGTACCCACAAGACACGATTCCACATATGTTGCCATGCCCCGAAGTACCACCATGGTACTGCAAAGGGGGAAATCATGACAAGACCCTTCGCATAACCCTCCCCTAACCATCCACACCACTCTAATGTTTCACCCCCACTCCTAACCCAGAGTGGGCAGTACCCTCATGCGCCGTGGTGAATCCGGCAGCTAGACAACCGGACACCCCGGCCGACCCAACTCCATCACGCCCACCCTCGCCACCAGTGCCTAGGAAAGGGTCAAGTTATACTACAAGTCAAGCAGTTACCCATTCCCGCCTGTGGTAAGCATGGTAAGTCTTCAAGGGTTTCCCGTGAACTGGTCCTTAATTGTCATGGATGCGACGAGCAAAACCATGCACCCACAGCCCACCATTCAGTCGCATTTAATTGGATAATTATGACCAATGAAACATGGCCAGATGTCTCGAGCTCGCAGCTTGTCATGAAACTAAATGTCTAATAATGTAATTATCCCATTATGTGAGCTAGTGGATCTAAGCATGGCTAAACATTTCCTAAACCAACATATAGTCAGATTAATACCCAAGTTCTCAATGGCTGAGTAATAGGACGCATCCCACATGGCATTGTAAAATAATACAACACTTAATAGAAAGCGGGACATTTGTAAATTGGGTACAATATGATCAATTGTAATGCATGACTTTCCTTGCTCTTGCGTTGTTGAGACCTCTGCAACATCTTCAACGCACCACGGAGCGACAATACGGCCGAAAACTACGCGACAAACAAAGTACACAAGCAAAACATGCTATAAGTCTACTGAAACAGGAAACAAAACCATTTTTAATGGATTTTAGGGATTTTTATGAATTTAATGAGACTTGAATAGACTTAAACAGAGCTCAGATGAATTTTCTATAAATTTTAGAAGATTTTCTGGGTTTTCACTATAAAAAGAAAAGCCTTAATGATTTATTGCACAATATAACCCAGGGCTGACGTCACCAAGGGGAGGGGCGGCGCCGGCAAGCGGGCCCCACAGGTCAGCGGATCAAGGGGGAGTCGGTCCATAGTGGACCAAGTTTATGGGACCGAGGGTGGTGTGCCACGTGGCGCCGACGTGGCACCATGCGGCCGGCCACGCGGGCCACGGATGGACGGCCACGATCTGCCGAGGAGTAGATCAGGCGGCTAGGGACGGGCGGCACCAAGGCCGACCCGAGCATGGCGCACGGTGGCGGGCGGCGCCGTGGCGCGACGGCGTGCATGCGGTTAGCGGCGGCGCGCACGAGAGAGGAGGGAAAGGGGAGGGAAGGGGGTCCTCACCGGCGAGCTCGGAGGCTGGAGCGGAGGATGAAGGCGGCGGCGGCGGCCCGACGACATGGAGGGGCGGACGGGCGGCGGTGACACCTAAGGAGAGATTTGAGAGGGGTTAGGAGTAGAGGGAGTGACCACGGCGGCAAACGCAGTTGGCCGGAGGCGGGGAAATTGCGAAACTCACCGGTGAGCGAGGGTAATGGGGCTCCAGTGGGAGTCCGACAACACGAGGCGGTGGCCGAGATGGCTTACGCGGCGGCGGAGATAACGGCGGTGAATGCACGGCGTGGCGGTGGCTCTAGCAGCAACGGCACACGGCCGGAGTTCAGCGGCGGTTGCGGAGCTCGGGGGGAGCGGCGCGGCGGCGGTTGTTGGTATTTCTTAGCGACACTACTGGAAATATAATTCACAGTAATAGCACTAGAAATAATCCTGGTATATTATGGTTACAGATGTGATCCGCAAGCACACGGATATACCATTGTAGCATTTCTCCTGGGAGTATTCCAAGGTATCGTATTTATTTTATCCCAAGGGAAGATATGATAAGAGAGTACTACACTAATAGTTTATATATCACTTGTATACATCAAAGTCTATGTAAGGGTTAATTCAGTTAGAGTGACACACAGAAGAAAAACCTAAGATACTCTCACTAAAATAGTCTAGGCTAAGTGGTGAAAGAATAAGAAAAGTATCATTTCTATACTTCTAGTATACATACATCTTTAGTCTATACTAGCTAATATACAGTCATGTAACCAATACCCCGTACCCAGTTTCCTCTGTTTTGAGAGACCACCCCTGGTTGCCGAGTTCCTTACGACAACCTGTCATGGCCATCCAACCGGGGCTAAATACGGAAGAGTACCCTCCCCAGGAAATTGCACTTAGGATTATATACACGCGCGGAGGAATACCCGTACTGAGCTGTCACCATCAGCGGCCCACCCCGACGTATCCGCAACATATAACCCCAATTAATGATACTTAATAATCTAGACACCAAGTCTACATTATTAAATTCTACTCTACATCCATGCATCCGACATAGAGTAACCGAATACTTGGACATTAAACCCATACCATTACACCTCTCTGGTAAGCTAGTTACACAACTATATCGGCACAAGTATAAAGTAAAATCGGTACTCAGACAATATAAATGGAATAAAATACCGAAGATATATAAAGAAGAATATTCTATTAACTCAATAAGCCTTACAAAAGAAGAGAAAAAAGCTACTATAGCCATACCCGAATTCTCCTGAAGACTCGAGGACCAAGATTGTTATTCTAATTCCTACTCCACTAGCACTAGTGTACAACTAAACTTGTGAGAGGGAGAGAGCTCTTCTTCTTGAGTGAGTGTGTGTTGTAGGGAGTGAGGAGAGCTCCTTTTATAGGCTGAGTATGACGGTTATGACAGTTGGAAAGGTCAGTAATACCCTCCAACCATCATTGGGAATCCATTTGAGCCGTCCACCCGAAACCCCACATCCATCGGCGCTGAGGAGGGTTCGGCCGAACCATAGGCTGGCTCAAACCGGCCCATTTTCAGCAGGCTTTCTCCTCTTCTGTTCCTCATTTCAGAAGTATGAATTTTGGGCTTATTTACTCGTGTCAATTCAGTGGCTTCAGCCCATCTATCCATGTCTAATTCTCGGCAGCGTCTGATAGATCATTCAAGTGTTTTGCTGCCGATTCTCCTCCATTTATATATGCTTCTCCTGCATAGATGTTAGTATGATAGTATATAGTAGAAGTAGATATTTTATTTGAAAATGATGCATTGCAAGCATAGCTAGTCTTCATTAATTAATTAGGTAATATTGACGGTCGAAATTGGTCGATAACGACCGTCAACATCGGTAGAGAGCATGGGACGGTGCGCGCGAGTGGGGAAAAGGATGGAGGAGGATCGGGGAAGTGTTTTTATAGGCGAGGGGGAGGCGGCCTATTTTACCGCCAATGACGTGGGGGGGGTTGGGGGAGAGAGAGGGGGATTCAAATTGAATCTCGCCCCTCACGGGCGCGTGCGTGGGGCGGGAAGGCGGGGGCATGAGCGGCAACGTGGGTGCGGGCGCGGGAGGAGCGGGAAAGGCGGCAACGGTGGCTGCCGCCGGCTAGAGGAGGAAGACGGAGCTGACAGGTGGGCCCACCTGTCGGTGACCCGGAGAGAGGAGGGAGGGGGCGGGTCGGCCCAGCCGAGAGGGCTGCGCGGGAGCAAGGTGGGCCGACGGCCCAAGAAGAGGGAAAAAGGAGGAAATGAAAAAGAAGAAAAAAGGAAATTGATTTCCTGGGATTTATATATTGCGGTTAATCGATTTTATTTGGTTAAAATTATTTATAGGGCTCTGAAAATTCCACTAAAAATCCTGTTAATGCATTAGAGCATGGGGAACTTAAGAAAATTCCACCACACCGATTCCAATTATGAATTGCATTTATTAAATAGAGATTAGCTCTAGGTTAATTTAATTTAAACAATTTCTTCAGGCGATTTATTAAACAAGTTTTAAAGTAAGAGAGGGGAAACTTCAGGGCATGACAACCATACAATATCTAGTGCATATAACATCACCAAGCCTTCTGGGCACTCTAGCTATACCTTCTATACTTAGATTTGTGGCTGCCGATAATACTGTATACCTAGTTTTATATGGAAAGGTGTACTCAAATATGGCATAGTGCATATAATTAAAGATGCAAACTCCATTCCCTGTAAGTAAAGTTGTTGGACTCCGACCCGGGTACTACAAGGATTTATCTTCCCGTATCCCACATAGACTCACTAATTTCTACTTGGAGAACATGTTGCCTAACTGTATAAATACAACATCCCGCAAGAGGGGAGGGCATCAGATAGCAAGCGATAGCCACGAGGCACATCGAAGATCAACCATGAGCAAGCCTACAGTTAACCTTCGACTCCAAGTCGACAAGTCGTCCTATTAGTTCTCGACGAATACTAGTTGAAGGCTAATGTAATCGACCAAAGTATATGATATCGTCACTTTTGTAGTGGGTTCAGCTGAGTGAGCTCAGTAAGAAGACCTTAATTTCAGTTAGCACTGAAGATAGGGGAAATAAAACCTAAACAAAATCTCCTAACTGAAGAAGATGCATGGAACATGCATGCAAAAGACAAGGACTTTTGTACTGAGAACCTGAGATATTTTTTTTGCATCTCAATTACCACCAGAAACGTGACGATTTCTGGACGGCGATGGTCACCTCACGGCTCTGTTCATGGCTGGCTGATGTAGTGTATTATGTATAGATAGTTTAGCGTAGTGTGACAGGCACGTCCCACTCTGCAAATCTTGAATTTAGTTGCGCCGGTTACGCAATGTTTGCGTGATGTTATGTGCCATTGAAATTTTTCTTTTTCTTTTCCTTTTCTTGTAGGGAAAATAACTGGCCGTCCATATATATAAAAGTGAGCCATGTGAAAGAACGGCCCAGAGTAGACAACTCGCTATCAAGAAGCGAACGCAACGACGGAAAATTCCAAACGGAAAGCTCAGCCAAAATACATGTTTGTTTGTTCTTTTCCCAGGACTTCTAGCTAAATTGCTGGATTGTTGTCTCTGGAAAAAAAAAAGAGCTATCGCCGTAGGGTCGAGGATTATCTATTTTATCAGTTATAAATTAAAATATTTGGGAGATAAACAGAACAGGTAGCTTGGAACAAGTGGTCCCAACAATGCTGAAGAAAGTTTCTCTGAAACATATTTTTCTGAGGGGAGAGAATATATAGAGGTATACTTCGTCTTATAAAAACCTACTCTTGTACTGATATAACACTGTTGGTTGATTTTATCGACTTGTGCCGATAAGGGTTAGAAGGGGATCTAAACCACCGGTTTCCTTATCCTAACAAGAAACAAACTAAAAGATAAATTCGTTTTTTTATGTGATCGGTACAGAAAACGAATTCTAAACTATTTGAGATAACCCCCGAGCCCCACCAGTGTCGCCTATATAAATAAAGAGAAGGAAGGAGGCAGATGACGACCGAACTCTCTCTCTCTAATCTCAAACCCTAAATTAATCGCCCGATCGATCTAGACACTGGAAGGGGTTCGTGAGGCATCTCTAGAAGAAGAAAGAAGAACAGCAATGGCTTCAAACACAGGTCAGTACATCAATTATTTTTCCGCATAAGTAAGAGGTGATTGTTTGTAGACTAAAGCCTAAGATCCTGTAATTAGAACTCCAATATTGTGGTATCAGAGCTGATCTTTAGTCCACTCAATCCCTAATAATCACATCATCCCTATGATTAGAAGCCATCCTTAAAAAGTTCAAGATTGGTTCGGCATGAACAATTTTGAATTAGATTAGATTAATTTCTTTAAGTCTTGGTTGCATATTAAGCCATGTTATACTGATTGGTCTCGACCAACAGTAGAAGAAGCAAAGTTATTGAAGAATTTAATTTCGTTGCTTAGCAGTAGAATTTAAGAGAAGAATGAGGATTGGGATAAACGAGATTGAAATTCCCAAATTCTCACACTAAGAATTCCCAGACCGAAGCTATGGTTTCGGCCAGATATTAGAGGGGAGGATAGGTCAAGTCAGAACGAAAATCCCCAATTAACTATTTTAATCTACTCGGCCTATTGCAAGGTTAATTAATCTACTGTTCTTGCATGATTAAGTTTTTCATCATGAATAAGCTTCGGCTAGCAGTGGATTAAGAAGAAAATTGGGAAGACGGGATAAACTAGATTGAAACTCCCAAATTTTTCCCCAACTATTTAGCTCAGAAAAGAGGAGTTTGGGATAAACAAGATTGAAATTCCCAAAATCCACACCTCAGAAACCCTAATTCGAAGAAATCCCCAAAATTCGAAGAACCCTAATTTCGGTTCTAAGAACCCTAAGTCACAAAGTCTGAATTAAATCCAAGAAGAAAATTAGGCTCGGGTTCGGTGACTTGCCGGATTTTGAAGCCCCCTAAACCGGAAGCAGCGTCGCTGCCACTTCACATCCTTGCGGCCGCGTCGGTCTTCCCGTACGCGCGCCGTCTTGGAGTGTACCTCCACCGTCCCTCGCTGGGGACGGGAAGCTCCAGCTTGGCGGCTGCCTTCGGGCTCCACCCCTCCCCCCTCCCCCCCCCCCCCCGCGCCGACGAGCTCTGGCCGCGTCGACGTTCGCCGTCGCCTGCGCGCCGCCTCGCCGGACCGCCGACGCCGTGGCACACGGCCTGGCGCCGCCCTCGAGCGCGCCCCCCAGCCGGCCGAGATGGAGCCGCTGCGGCGCTCGCCGCCGCACGCGCGTGCCACCTCGCCGGACCGTCATCGCCATCGCCGCTGCTCGCTCACTCGCCCGGGTGAGAGAGTCGTCAAAGAGAGGGAAGAGATTAGGGTTAGGGTTTAAAAACCCTTTTCCCCCACGCCGCCTAGCTGTTTGATCGGCACGGGACCGATCCAAACCGTCTATCAGATCGGATGGCTGAGATCGGCCCCGCGTCGGGCCGTCGCCGTCATGGGCCGCGCCGATCTGGGCCACGTACGCCTAAGCGCCGCGCGCGCACATAAAAATGGACCGGCCTTTCAATAAGAGTGGGCCTTTTATTTTAATTTATTATTGAGCCTGTGAAGTTAATTTTCTCAGAATTTATTTAGCCCGTTTTTTATGGGCCGGCTTAGGAAGTGATGGGCCGCATTATTATATTTAAGCCCACCATTTAATGTTTTATTTATTTCCAGAAATTCATTTATGAGCTTTCTTAGCTATTTTAAAATTTCTGGAAAATTATGGTCAATTATTTGATCACTTAGAAAATTATTTCTAGCTAAATGGAACCAACGGGAAATTTGGCTAGAAAGAAATTAATGATATGATATTATATTTGACCAACGTTAATATAATTTCATGTCAATATTTATTAAGATTATTATTTCCTTAAGCCATTTAATTTATTTCTAGTTGAATGGAAATTTAACTAGAAAGTATTTATGATTTCATGTCAACATCATTATGATGGTCATTTCCTTAGTATATTAATTATTTATAGTCGAATGGAACCAACGAGAAATTCGACTAGAAAGCATTAAGATGTGAAGTTATATTCAACCCACTTTATTATAATTGCGTGTCAATTATAATTTTTTATTCCTTAGTTATTTTCTACCAAACGGTGATATAATTGAGGAATTAATTTTAAGATTATTCATAATTATTTATGACCAATGGTGCTTTGACTATGAAATTCTAAGTTTATTTTGCATATGAAGCCAATGTAAATTAACTTTATGCAATTGGCAATGCTTATTATTTAAGATCAGTTGCAATACTAGGTAATTTAATTCTAGATTAATGGAACCAACAGGAAGTTTATCTAGAAAGATGATTTCATTAAGATTATTATTTCCTTAATTATTTCTGCCGAACGGTGATGTAATTAAGGAAACATCTAAGTATCGTCAATCATTATTTTCATTTTCTTTGTCATTTTGGCCTTTACGGTGATATGACTTAGAATTTTACTTATGCCATTAGTGCATTAATTCCTCTGTCACTCATGCCTTACGGTGATATGATCAATGATCTCTAATTTTTTACTAAGCTTAATTCCTTTACCATTTCTGCCCAACGGTGATATGGCTAAGGATTTTAATTTCATGTCATTTACTAATGGCATTATGCCTTATATCATATTTACCTACTTTTGGTAATTTGATTTAGGATATTAATTTTCAGTAATTCATTATTCTCTGCCATTTCATAATCCTTTCTACCCTATGGTGTTTGATTATGAAAATTAAGATTCATTTGTATGTGATTAATTAAGACAATGGAAATTAATTGCATGCATTACTAATGTTTAATTAATAATTAATTTTTCAGCATTAGGACAGCTTAAGGCTATTCAGCTTCTTGATGGATCAAATTATGTTGAATGGAGAAATAATGTGCTTATTAACTTAGCCATGTTGGATTATGACTTAGCCATAAGAGAGGATCCTCCCGAGGAACCTCAACCGGCTGAAGAACTCAATATAATTGGGGAAGAATATGATAATCTCATATGGGCCTACAATAAGAAGTTAGCCAACTGGGAGAAGTCCAACAGAATGTGCTTAACTTATGTCAAGGGTGCCATCTCTCCAGAAGTTATTGGAGGAATCATTGACTCTAATGACATTAAAACGTATCTGGCAAACATTGAAGAAAGTTTTGAATTTGCACCTGAGACTTATGCCAATACGCTTGTAAATGAGATGATCACTAGTCATTACGATGGCAAAAGTGGTATAAGGAAGCACATCCTTGAGATGACTCATATGGCAAATCAACTCAGATCCATGGATATGAAAATATCTGATGGATTTTTAGTGCACATCATCATGAGATCTCTTGGTCCTAACTATGATCCATTCAAAATAAAATATAACACTCAAAAAGAGGAGTGGACCATACAAGAATTGATCTTACACTCTGTGGAAGAGGAAGAGCGCCAGAAAGCTGAAAAGCAGAAGATTAAAGACCGGCTCAACCTCACTAATGCCTTTGATAAAGGCAAAAAAGGTCTATCAAGGGGAATCCTCTAATAAGAATAGCGAGCCAGAGGGTGAGCAGAAGCAAGAAGGGATCAAGGCCTCCACTTTAGCTGTTCCTTTAAGTACAAGTCCCTACTGCCACTTCTGTGCATCATATGGACATTGGCAGAGAAATTGCACACGCTTCACAGCGTGGTTAGTCAAGAAAGGTATAAATGAAATTAAATAAATCCCTTGTGATGATTTTTCCCTTAATACTTAGTGAGTTTGACTCAATGCCGCTGTGCATGTTTCTAACTCATTACAGGAAACTCGCACCGTCCAAACGGTAGCAAAGAAGGGAGTGAACACTCAGAGTAACTGATGGAGTGAAGATGAAAGTGAAGGGTTGTTGGAGACCTCACACTTAGTTTCTCCAGCAGTTGCAATAATGTCTCATTTGTTCACTCTATTAAGAGAAACTTTACTAGTTTAATTATTTAAAGTCATGTGAGAAACGGGTCATGTCCGTTATTTTTCCAAATAGAACATGATATATTAAGTGTGATAATAAAGTGATTGGTCTTGTCCTTGTGCACGACAGTCATATTTGTTCTTTTGGATGATCATGTGACTATTATAATAATTGCCTGTAAGGATAAAAGATGAGACGTCATTGAAATTGTGACATTGTAATTGATGTCACATTTCTAGGGGAGGTTAGAACGTCTCATAAGTTGGAGATATTCTTTCCCTTGGATTGATTTTAGTGATGTTATTTAAGCTTTAAGGGAAGATTCACTAAGTTAAGATTTTAGCCAATAAATTACTTTTGGCTATGTTTACCCATAAGGCTATGTTTACTCATAAGCAACCTCCGATTTCCTTAAAGAAATTTAAGATACTGATGCTGAAATCAAATGAAGTTATGAGATCGGATTATGGTGGTAAACACTAAATAAAGCTTGTTCACCCGATGAATACATTAAAATAAGCGTTTATCCAAATGGTTTTCGAACCATAAATTGAGATTGATGAACAAAATAAGACATTAATGTGTTTGTCTAAATGGTTTTTCGAACCATGTAATAAAGAATTTAGTAGAAGTTTCTAAATGAGTCAAAAAATAGGCCATTTAAGTGGGTTAATAAAATTAAGCCTGGCTCTAATGGAAATTTCGAACAATTCAAGTGAGGTGGACAGCTGCATGAAAATTAAAGGTGGGAATTTCATTCACCGGTACTCTATACTAATGACATTTTATTGTCAAGCAATCCATATTGCTGTTAGAAACTAAGGAAATTTTTCCATGAATTATTTTGGTGTGAAGGAGTACTTGGGTTTATATTAGTAAGTCATACATTGATATAAATTAAAGAAATAATTTGAGAGAATTCAGTTAAAGTTAGTCAAGCTGAGATTAAATTTTAAAGTTGGACTCAGCTGACAAAAGCTTGAGATTAGCTCAAATCTGGATGCATACAGATTTGGCATATATTTTACTGGGAATCTTGGCAGTATTTAATTAAATCCAGACTAGACCACTGGTATTAAGAATGTTTTGTATTATCTGCAAAACAATTTTAAGTAACATGCTCATATTTCTAAAGTCCAATGATCTCATAAGTTTAGAGACATTTGAACAATTATTTTGTGACATGTGTGGATATTTATAAAGATTATTAAGTTAACTAAGATTAAGCTATGTCCACACATAGGGGAGCAATAACCATGGAAAAGCTCCAAAATAATCTCTTACTATATAGTCGACGATGCAGTTAGATTTTAAAGCATGTTATGATTAATGTTAAGAATATTTCCCAGAACTAAGAGTGGTGAATAGCGCTCATAAACCACTCAAAAGGTGTAAACCACCCAAAATATATTGTGTTATGAGTTGTGCACTAATTAAACACAGTTTTCTATTCTAATAGCAACATGTTGTGTGTTTTCTGCCTAACATATTGATATGGTTGTGAAAGATATGTCCCAGGATCGAATTATTAAGCTAAGTATTTGCTAATGGATCCATACTCTAAAGGCTCATAAAATTAAGATTAATTAAGATTATGTTATGGCCAGTACATATGTAAACTAGAGCCTTACTAAGATCCTGGATGAGGGGGACTAATTTTTTTTCAATCAACACCCACTAAGTTAAGCTTGAGTTTATTTAAGTACTATAGTGAGCTATAGGTCTTGTTGTCTCAGTGACGCATAATGTTGTTGAAGACACATTGCCTTGGGTAGCTATTTTATTTAATAGACTCGTAAGTAAGTCTCAAAAATCAAGGGGAGAATGTTGGTTGATTTTATCGACTTGTGTCGATAAGGGTTAGGAGAGGATCTAAACCACCGGTTTCCTTATCCTAACAAGAAACAAAGTAAAAGATAAATTCGTTTTTTGTGTGATCGGTACTGAAAACGAATTCTAAACTATTTGAGATAACCCCCGAGCCCCACCAGTGTCGCCTATATAAAGAAAGAGAAGGAAGGAGGCAGATGACGACCGAACTCTCTCTCTCTAATCTCAAACCCTAAATTAATCGCCCGATCGATCTAGACACTTGAAGGGGTTCGTGAGGCATCTCTAGAAGAAGAAAGAAGAACAGCAATGGCTTCAAACATAGATCAGTACATCAATTATTTTTCCGCATAAGTAAGAGGTGATTGTTTGTAGACTAAAGCCTAAGATAACTCCAACAAACACATCCTATTAAAACGTATTTTTTAAAACTTGCGGTAGAATTAAGTCTATGTATATTTGCTGTGATCTGCCTTGACGTTACGAAGTTACATAATTTGTTAAGTCGATCACGTCTTCGATTATAAGTAGCAAATTAAACCAGAATGTGTTCTTAGCATATGCCAAGAACCAGTAGCACATCTGGTTAATTTGCCAGAGCATTTATGCGTATGCGTATATCGACACATTTGTTGCTAAAGGTGTGTGAGCGTTGCCTGTGTTGGATACTTGGATCAGTCTGGTTAATTTGCCAGAGCATTTAAGCGTATGCGTATATCGACACATTTGCTAAAGAAGGTGTGCGAGTGTTGCCTGTGATGGATACTTGGATCAGGCCGTGTTTAGTTCCAAAATAATTCTTCAAACTTTCAAATTTTTCATCACATCGTTCCAATTTTAACCAAACTTTCAATTTTAAATTTTAATGTGAACTAAACACAGCCTCAACACAGCCTCAGCATAGGATTTAGACGACCCTTGGTTAGTAGAGTAGGAACGTCTGACGGTCTGAGCGATATATTTGTTCAGAGTGAACTGTTTATTATCACGGTTTTCATGCTCAAATCTTCACCATCTCTCCGTTCTTTTCTTCTTTAGGACGGGATAAGAATGTGGATGCCTTGCTGTCTTTCTGGCTTTATATATTTGTCTCTTCAACGTAACTCTTCAAGTCAATCACACTCTGAACTCTAATAAAGTGCCTTTACATCAGTTGGCAACCGTGTACACTAATCCTTCACACTTAATTGATTGCTCCACAAGGAATTGGGTAGTCGATCTTACCAGTAGATTGAATCGTGACAAAGAGATCAGTACTACTCCACATACGGATATGGCCGAAATTTCACATATATATATATATGTATATTTCAGGCTCTTAGATGCTATGCTCAAAATTATCTGAGCTGAAGAGAATTCTGAGTCTGCATATTCAGCATACAAGTCCCAGTACTGCTTCAGTAGCAATAATTGATCAGGTACGCCAGAACTCCCTCTATCTACAGATATACAACGTTTGTCCTAAAATATAAAAAGTTTTAGAGCTGGACACGGTTATTAAAAATATAGGTAAAATTAAATAGGTAGATGTTGTAATTGGTTAAGAAGTGGAGGTAGGTGGAAAAATTGAATGGTGGAGGGTTGGGAAGGGAATGTTGATGGAGAAGTTGTCATATTTTGAGACAAATCCTAAATGCTAAAATTTGTTATATTTTGAGACGGAAGGAGTAGCAATTATTCAGGACAACCTAGTATTATGAACCTGACTTAGGTTAAGGGTGTATAATTCAGTACTAGTTTACTATATTTTAGGATGGAGGACGCACGTGTATGGCTATTTTCTTTAAAAATGATTCACTGCAATATCAGTCCCTCTCAATGGGAAAAAAGTTTTCTCCCAAAACCATTTAATCCTACTTATATTGCAGCCATGAAGGTTATTTTGCACATCAGCAGGTGATATTTTCGTCATTTTTTCTCTGTTATTCTAGTACTATGTTTTGTCATTTTAGTACGCATCGGGAACATCGACCGCAAATGATGACCCCAACGGGCAGACGTGAACGGTCCATCAATTTTGTTTGTTTATCATATGAATGAGGGAAGCCGCGCTCACTGTAGCTATTTTTATAGAGAAAATTGGAACCATGTCATTATAATTTTCTAAAATTTAAGATATGCCATCCTGACCTATATGTCATTGACTCATGTGGGTTCTACATGTCATTGAGATACCGATAGCATATCTTAAACTTTACAAAATTCTAATGGCATGGTTCCAATTTACCCATTTTTATATGGGCTTCCAAAATTGGATCCACCGCTACACGTTTGGCTGTCCCAACCTGCCCCAGCTAGTGCAGTAGTATTTGTGAGTAGATCGACTTTTATTTTACAGAACAAAAGAGTAAACATTTGCTCTGTTTGTTTCAAAAAAAAAACATTTACTTTGTTAAGATGATGGGTCTTCCAAGTTTCAGATTGCACACGCTTGCTCATTTGATAACCATTTTGACTGTAATTTGTTTTTGAAAACAAGAAAGTTGACATGATTTTCACATGTATACTCCTAATTTCTTCTGAGAACAATAAACCTGATAGAATTAGCTAGTAGTAGTACAAATGCAGCCTTTAACGGTTCCACGCGCTCGGCACGTGTCGCTCTAATACTCTCCTCTCCATGCACCCATAAGCAGCAGTGTTAGCCTGTACTCCATCTCACTGTCAGTCACATGATGGAATCAACGCGCTGTCCTCTCATTCGCGCTCAAGATCCCAATCAGGACACCTCAGCCTCAGCCGCTTGGATCTCGTGACACTTTTGTTTTGCCTTCTGTTCGCCTTAAAATGAGTAATGTTCAACTACTCCCTCTGTATCAAAATAAAATAACTTAGATCACCAGACTAAAACTTTTAAATCCCTATCACATCGAATGTTTGGACACTAATTATAAATATTAAACGTAGACTATTAATAAAACCCATTCATAATCTTAGACTAATTCACGAGACGGATCTATTAAGCCTAATTAATCCATGATTAGTCTATGTAATGCTACAGTAAACATTCTCCAATTATGGATTAATTAGGCTTAAAAAATTGTCTCGTGAATTAGCTTTCATTTATGTAATTAGTTTTGTAAGTGGTCTATATTTAATATTCTAAATTAGTGTCTAAATACAGAGACTAAAGTTAAGTCCCTGGATCCAAACATCACCTGAAATCTACCCTCACATCCCATCCTAAATTAAAGCCCTGTTTGGGGGAGCTTCACCCAGTTGTAGCTTTTCCCAAAAGCTGCTTCTGCTAGAAGCTGCCCTAAACGGTCCACAGCTTCTGAGAATCTGCAGTTACAGATTCTGAAAATTGAACTAAGAAGTCAGAAGCTAGAGAAGCTAGGTTTCAGAGCTTTTCCAGATTCTCAGAAGCTGGCTACCAAACAGCTGCTTCTCAGAATCTAAAGCTCCCCAAACAGGCCCTAAGTTATTTTAGGATGGAGGGAGTACTTATTATATTTTAAAATACTAGCATAATGCTAGTATGTTACAACATTTTAGCGCCGAGATGCCGCGCTGGCAACTTTTTGCTTACCTGCACACCATGAAGCATCCACGCTGCATACACCATCCTTCCTGCTGTCGTTGTTGATGAAGATTGAGGAGGCCAAGCTCACCGCGGCACTGTCGAGGAAGCAAAGGCCGAGTTGCTCCGATCTCATCATGGTTAGTGCCCCTCGGATGCGGCGTCCCTAAGCTTGGCATGGTTGAAGTCAAGCGAAATATGACAACGGCGAGGCGCCGACGATGATGGAGACCGACCTAATGCATCCCGACGGCACGGCAGAGAGCGAGATGCACTTCTCATGCTTGCCGTCGCGATTTGCCTCACAACTTGTTTGGCAACTTAAGGAAAGATGATTGGAAGTTTAGATCAAGAAATTGATGGTGAGAATAACATGAGAATTTGGTTTTTAGTCCCATTTTCTTATTTTATAAAGGCGGTGGGAATTAACAGGGAGTTTAGTTGAAGACTAGATCTTAAATGAAATCAGATGGCTTAGATTTGTTTAGGTAATGTAAAGGAGGAATTTCCTGGCCAAGCCACCCCGGCCCAGCCCTGCTCCTCTTTTTCCTACTCCCGACTAGGGTTCGTTCGGTTGATGGATATTGAAATTAGGGGGGAGTGCAGGTGAGAGTTGCCCTGGGGGGCCATATCAGCGCTAGCGTAAATTGTGCTGAGATGCCTAAGCTCAGCGCCATTATGGCTAGCGCTGAGATCGAGGAGCCAGGGAAGCAAAGCTTCGAGCGGAGTGCCGAACCTCAGTGCTAGTGTAAATGGCGTTGAGATAGCTAAGCTCAACGTCATTACGGCTGACGCTGAGATCGCGGATCCAAAGTAGTCCAGGTGTAAGTTGCTAAGTGCTGAACCTAGTGCCAGAAAAAATGGCGCTAAGGTCTGCCATTCCAACGCCAAGTCATTTGGAGCTGAGGTCCTTGCCACGTAGGCCAGGGGAAGGCTGGGCCGCCTCCCTGGCAGGTGTTAGCGCCAAACACTCTAGCATTGAGCACACGGCTTATTTTTAGTTTAAGTTTTTTACGCGGGCTAATTTATAAATAAGTTTTTCAAAAGAGCCAATATTTCGTACTAACCAAACAAAATATTTAATAGTTTTATCCCTCTAAATTATTAATCCCTACTTAAAAGCTGCTCACAACCAAACACACCCTAGCGCGGTTACAGGGAGAGAAGAGGGGAAAATGAATGGCTGAGAGAGCGATGATAGATTGACCGGTGAAGAGAAAAAGGTGGACCCACTATATGAGATGGAGCGTCCGATATTTCTCGGTGCACCGGACGTTTTCGTTTTTTTAAGCGTTTTCGTTTTTGTTTATTTTCGATATAGGAAGGAGAGATATCCATCCGGATCCCGGAAGCCGAATCCATCCATCCATCCATCCCATACTGCCCTTACGATCGAGCTGTTTGATATTCGTGCAGATGAGCGGATTCTCCGCGGCAGCTGCTGCGGCCGAGCGGTGCGCGCTCGGCCTCGGCGTCCACGCGCGCCCCGCCTCGCCCTCGCCGGCGCTGCTCCCGCCGGCGGCTCTCCGCCGCGGCCGCCGCCTCCCCGCGGCCACCACCACCCTCGCCGTCTCCCGTCGGAGCCTCCTCGCCCCTCGCGCCATCGCCGCTTCCACCGGCCGCGCCTCCCCGGGCGTACGCGCTTTTTCTCGCTCTATCGTGCCCGCCACGTGTTCGACGGTGTGACTCACTCTCTCTCTATGCTTCTGTTTGTTTGCAGCTTGTCGGAAGGTTCACCCTGGATGCCAACTCCGAGCTTAAGGTGCTGCTGATCTACCATGCATTTTGTGGGGGGCGGGTTCACCTGGATCGACCAATTTGATGTGATTTTTGTTCGTTCTAATGGAGCATATGCTGCATAAATTTTTGCAAACACAGGTGACATTGAACCCAGCACCGCAGGGTTCGGTGGTGGAGATCAATCTAGAGGCAACTAACACCAGCGGCTCCCTGATACTGCATTGGGGCGCCCTTCGCCCGGATAGAGGGTGAGACTTATCTTCTGTCCCTGTTGATGACTAGTGCGTGCGTGCATGCCCAATATCAATATATGCTTCTGTGTTACATGTTTTGTATATTTTCGATTTAAGGCTTGGTAATCCCTAACAAAGCTTTTTGACTGTACTTAGAGAATGGCTCCTACCATCCCGGAAACCAGATGGCACGACAGTGTACAAGAACAGGGCTCTTAGGACGCCTTTTATAAAGGTCAGTCTTGCATGACGGATCTGTCTTGCAATGTAAGTGCACATGGTTAGTAATTTCTATTCCTGTCTCGAATTTCAGTCAGGTGATAACTCCACGCTGAAAATTGAGATAGATGATCCTGCAGTGCAAGCCATTGAGTTCCTCATATTTGATGAGGCACGGAATAATTGGTCAGTTCTTTTTGGGTTACCCATCCTACCCTGTTTCTTGGAATGCAGAAGATATCAAATAACAACACTCTACTTTGGACAGGTACAAAAACAATGGCCAGAATTTCCAAATTCAGCTACAAGCGAGCCAATATCAAGGGCAGGGTACATCTACTGCTACTTCTTCTACTGTGGTTCCAGAGGATCTTGTGCAGATACAATCATATCTTCGGTGGGAAAGAAAGGGAAAGCAGTCATATACACCTGAGCAAGAGAAGGCATGTCCTGTTTTTTAATATATGTCACGTTGACTTTTATTATAAACTTTGACCATTCGTTTTATTCAAAAGTTTTGTGCAAATCTTAAAAATATAAATATTGCTTAAGGTTTCTTAGTGATAAATCAAGCCACAACAAAAAAAAAGATATTTACTTCAATTTTTTAAATAAGATGAATGGTCAAACATGATGTAAAAATTCAATGGCGTCATATATTGAAAAACGGAGATAGTACTAGTTTTGGTTTGCCTTATACAACTCAATGGACTAACTCATTATTTATGTGGTTTTCTCTAGGAGGAGTATGAAGCAGCACGAACTGAGTTGATAGAGGAATTAAACAAGGGTGTTTCTTTGGAGAAGCTACGAGCGAAACTGACAAAGACACCTGAGGCAACTGATAGTAATGCTCCTGCATCTGAAAGCACTGTGACTACTAAAGTCCCAGAGGAACTTGTACAAGTCCAGGCTTACATAAGGTGGGAGAAAGCAGGCAAGCCAAATTATGCCCCAGAGAAGCAATTGGTACTACTCTAAATTATCAGCTCAACAAGCTTTTGCTAAGGTGACTCTTTATGAAGATTTATATTTTGTTTTCGCTAGGTCGAGTTTGAGGAAGCAAGGAAGGAACTGCAGTCTGAGTTGGATAAGGGGACCTCAGTTGAGCAGTTGAGGAACAAAATTTTGAAAGGGAACATTGAGACAAAAGTTTCCAAGCAGCTGAAGGACAAAAAATACTTTTCTGTGGAAAGAATTCAGCGGAAAAAACGAGATATTGTGCAACTACTTAAAAAACACAAGCCTACTGTTATGGAAGCGCAAGTAGAGACTCCTAAACAACCCACTGTTCTGGATCTCTTCACAAAGTCATTACAGGAGCAGGATAACTGTGAGGTTCTAAGCAGAAAGCTTTTCAAGTTCGGTGACAAGGAGATACTGGTTAGGATTCTTGACTGACATTTCATATTCACAAACCTTGCATCCACCAATCTAATCTGGCTTAACTGTTTTTAAGGGAATTACCACCGTTGCTCTAGGAAAAACCAAAGTTCACTTGGCAACAAACTATATGGAGCCACTTATACTTCACTGGGCGTTGTCAAAAGAGAATGGAGAGTGGCAGGTAAAAACAAACATGTTTGCAACTCCTAAAGCTATGAACTCATCATCTGAAATAGACAATGTGGGCCTGTACTGATGGGGTGCTTTGTAACTGTGAAGGCACCTCCCTCAAGCATATTGCCATCTGGTTCATCATTGCTAGACAAGGCATGTGAAACTTCATTCAGTGAATATGAATTGAATGGTCTGCATTGTCAGGTATGGATAATTTTATCAGCCTATTATTTTCCATTGTCTTTTACATTTCCTGTCATCTAAGTACTTCCCCATTTCCAGGTTGTTGAGATCGAGCTTGACGATGGTGGATACAAGCGGATGCCCTTTGTTCTCCGGTCTGGTGAAACATGGATGAAAAATAATGGCTCTGACTTTTACTTGGATTTCAGCACCAAAGTTGCAAAAAATACAAAGGCAATTGCTTCTGTCCACTTTTTGCATAGCAACCATGAAACTTTTTTCCCTTTGTTTTAAGGATAACTTTTTTTACGACATGTTTTAAGGATAAATTCCTCATATGCCACTGAATATTTGCTATATCCCTTATTTTCCACTCATTTCCTCACTGATATGTGTCAATTAGCGGCATGTAAGAGATGACTTAGGCCTTGTTCGGTTATGCCCGGATTCAATCCGGACCGGGAATGACAAGTATAATAAGAAATTTATATAGATACAATGAGAGACCGGGATTTATTCCAGGCTGGGAACTAATTTACTCATGATATGGACAATAAGAGACCGGGAATCAATCCACTAGTCAAGAGGTGTAGAACTAATCTGAATGTTTTGTTGTCCCTATCATGAGTAAATTGGTTCCCGATCTGGAATAAATCCCGGTCTCTTATTACATCTATCATAAATTTGTTACTATACTTCTCATTCCCGGCCCGGATTGAATCCAGATGTAACCAAACAAGGCCTTAAAAATTTTCAATGTCAAATAAGAATATCTAAATAATTGTGGTAAAAATCACTTACTAATAAACTGTTGAATATATTCGTAATTAAAGGATACTGGTGATGCTGGTAAAGGCACTGCTAAGGCCTTGCTTGAAAGAATAGCAGATCTAGAGGAAGATGCCCAACGATCTCTTATGCACAGGTCAGGTGACACAATATCTATTACTTGTATGACTTGTTCTGTGTGTTAAAAAAATCCCTGAACTACCTTTATTCCTCTACAGATTCAATATTGCAGCAGATCTAGTTGACCAAGCAAGAGATAATGGATTATTGGGTATTATTGGAATTTTTGTTTGGATTAGGTTCATGGCTACAAGGCAACTAATATGGAACAAGAACTACAATGTGAAGCCACGGTAGATACTTGTTTCATATTCTTCAGTGAATTTTCTCTCTGTGCAAAAAGAAATCAAATTAACTACATAAGTACTTTTTTCTTGTGATGGGAATAAAAACCTTCTAGTCCTAATAAAGCATAACAGGAAAAAAAATAGAATGCTGTTTAGCAGACTGAACCTATTCTATTTGCATATCACACAAACATGACTTTGTTGCATCTTCTTTAACATCCATAATGATCTACAACTATGCAGTGAGATAAGCAAAGCACAAGATAGGTTTACAGATGATCTTGAGAATATGTACAGAACTTACCCACAATATCAGGAGATCTTAAGAATGATAATGTCTGCTGTTGGTCGGGGAGGTGAAGGTGATGTTGGTCAACGCATTCGTGATGAGATATTAGTAATCCAGGTAAATTAATGTTCCTAGGTGAATATCAACTTGTTTGTTGATCAACTTGAACTATACAACAATAAATACTAGTTGGTTGGTATTGTAGAGAAATAATGACTGCAAAGGTGGAATGATGGAGGAGTGGCACCAGAAACTGCACAACAATACAAGCCCAGATGATGTAGTGATCTGCCAGGTAATTGACATGCAGATATTTAATGCCATACAGATTTCAGCATTGGGGTTTTGATATTTATGGACTTGTGTCTCTTCATGGGTAGGCCCTACTTGATTATATCAAGAGTGATTTTGATATTGGTGTTTACTGGGACACCTTGAAAAAAGATGGTATAACAAAAGAGCGTCTATTGAGCTATGATCGACCGATTCATTCAGAGCCAAATTTCAGGAGTGAACAGAAAGATGGCTTACTCCGTGACTTGGGCAATTATATGAGAAGCCTCAAGGTATGTCAAACATCTGGCGTAGATAATTGAGATATCTATGCAGTATCTTTACGATTTTACGTAAATTTTTGCTTTTGCAAAGGCCTTATTTTGCTTTGTAGTTAAGAAATATTACAAGATCTACCCTAAACAATATACTGCTAATCACATATGCTGAAAGGTGGCATTCTCTGGTAACAGTACATGTTATTATGTCCCATATGTGCTGAATAAGGGTCGAAAGATTAGGATAAAGGCTAGATTGCTCTCGTTGGTACTGAGCTTGTCCTGATATTAAGAGACTCTGGTCAAGCTAAACCTAACTTTATGTTTCTTTTTTGCTTAATTGATAATGTTTCGCTTTGGTCCGTTTTAGATGGAGGGTACCCTGATACAATCACTGCGAATGGTAACATGCTCCTTAAGAGTAAAATCTGCATAATTGACATCTCCAGTGAAATCCCATTTCTATTATTATTTTAGGGAATTGCGGCAGGAATAGAAATTTATCTCTTTGCCTTCATGTATGGGAATCTTAAGGAAATGAAACAAAAATATCACACTATAGTTTCTACGTTTCATATAGTTTACCAATCATTCTCTTGAATCGTCTCCATTATCCAGCACCCCTATTACTAGCATTGTTAATAAAAGGCAAGTGTTAACATCAAACTACTCCATCCAACCAAATTTACCAGGCGTACACATTCCAAGATTCAAACTTTGTAAGTTTGACCAATAATTAGGCTAATTATATATACATTTAGTGATATAAAAAGGTACCACTAGATTTGTATTTCATTCTAAGATTGCAAGATTCATTTGTATGTTTTGACCAACAATTAAATGGTGCCGCTAGATCTGTATTGCAAGTATATTGTCTTGGTCTTCTAATTAGAAAATTTGTCATTTTCATAATTATACTTTGATTCAATAGTATTGTACATTTCTACTTCTGTTTTCTTAGGCAGTGCATTCTGGTGCTGATCTTGAATCTGCTATAGCAACTTGCATGGGATACAAATCAGAGGTACCATTCTCATGTCTGTTATACTGTGAAAGTTTCATTTGGTTATATATGATGTAATTGTTTCTTTGGGATACAGGGTGAAGGTTTCATGGTTGGTGTTCAGATTAATCCAGTGAAGGGTTTGCCATCTGGATTTCCTGTAAAACATCCTTGCCTTCTTTTTTTTAAAAAAAACACATTTATCATAATTAAAAGCTCATAATATTCATTACTTCAACAGAAATTGCTTGAATTTGTACTTGACCATGTTGAGGATAAATCAGCAGAACCACTTCTTGAGGTGAGCAATACTAAACCCAGGCATGTTTGCAATATTTGGTGCCATGTCCACGGGTTTACCTCCGTTCCATTATCTAAAAAAATAAAGAAAAACAAAATTACAAGACAATACTTAGATTTCTTATAAATGACTGATAGCTGACCTGCCTAATCCATCTGGTCTTTGCAACTTCCATATGCATCCTTTGTTGCCAATGTTGAAATGCTACCTTGCAGGGGTTATTGGAGGCTCGAGCTGAACTACACCCTTTGCTCCTTGGCTCTCCTGAACGCATGAAGGATCTTATCTTTTTAGACATTGCTCTTGATTCTACTTTCAGGACAGCAGTTGAAAGATCATATGAGGAGCTCAATAATGTAGAACCAGAGGTTGGTTAACACAGGATGTTGCTATAGGTTACATTATGGCATGTGTTTGTCTCACATTGTATCTTGTCTTTTTGACGATTCAAATGTATTAAGTCATGTTCCTGTTTTATCTAATCCAGAAAATTATGTACTTCATCAGTCTTGTCCTTGAAAATCTTGCTTTATCCACCGACGACAATGAAGATATCCTATATTGCTTAAAGGTACAACTGTTCTGTTTTTTTCCATGTTATGTACACAATTGTTTAGAGAAATTTACCTTAGTTGTTCCATTTTCCTAATAAAAGATACGAATAGTGGCAGAGCACAACATAACTATTTATGTATATCAGACAGCTGCTGAGAATATTTGTCATATTGCTGTTCATCTGTGCTTGTTATCCTTTTTTCCATGTAGCAATTAGTTTGGCTGTTGTCCTGAGTTTTCTTTTTTCCTGAAATAATTAAAAAAAAAGAATGAATCGACTGTCTTCAGTATATAACTTTGACCATCAGTTTTGGTTTATAATTAGAAACATTTTTTAAAATAATATTATGAAAGTCACTGTTAATGATACTATGGAAGTATGGATATGGTACCGACGTTCTTGTTTTAGATGTTTTACTGGAATGTATGCAGTCATCAGTTTAATTTTCTAATCTCTTTTTCGCACAAAATTATTTGGATTTGTCATGTGGATGATACTACTAGATTTGCCATAAAAAACATTAATGTCGTTGTATGTTTAATAATTTTATTAAGTTATACAATCAAACAAATAATTGTTAAAGGTGCTTGTTGGTAATGGTGGCTGTCTGAAATGACAAAGTTAAAAGGAGCTGAAGTTGTAGCATTTTCATGTAGCCAATCTTCGCATTACAAAGATGCCTATGGTTGAGTGGCATATAATGCAAAAGTGTCTTTCTTTATGGACTGGAGTGATTATAACTAGTTTTTTAAAAGAAACTTTTTTATTTGAACTATTTGTGATTTATGCATTACAAACTTTTAAAATGCAAACTAACCTAGTATGTGTCATGAAGGGATGGAATCAAGCCTTGGAAATGGCTAAACAGAAAAACAACCAATGGGCTCTCTATGCTAAAGCATTTCTGGACAGAACCAGACTTGCCCTTGCAAGCAAGGGAGAACAATACTATAATTTGATGCAGCCCTCAGCTGAATATCTTGGCTCGTTACTTAACATTGACCAATGGGCAGTAAGTGCTTAGGAACTTCAGCTATTTTTCTATCCAGACACTTAGGAACTAGTCTTAAGTATCATTTTTGGCAGGTTAATATCTTTACAGAAGAAATTATTCGTGGTGGATCAGCTGCTACCCTGTCTGCTCTTCTGAATCGGATTGATCCTGTTCTTAGGAATGTTGCACAGCTTGGAAGGTAAACTGCAAATTCTTGATTATCATTGTATTCTTTACCTTGTGCCTGACATTTATTGCCTAACAGTTGGCAGGTTATAAGCCCAGTTGAAGTATCAGGTTACATTGTAGTGGTTGATGAATTGCTTGCTGTTCAAAACAAATCCTATGATAAACCAACTATCCTTGTGGCAAAGAGTGTCAAGGGAGAGGAAGAAATACCAGATGGAGTTGTTGGTGTTATTACACCTGATATGCCAGATGTTCTCTCCCATGTATCAGTCCGAGCAAGGAATTGCAAGGTTTTCCCAGTTCACAGTTATGTGCAATCTTTAATAAGATTCGTCTTTTTTATTGATGTAACATTGACTATCTTTTCTTTTTGAAGGTTTTATTTGCAACATGCTTTGATCCTAACACCTTGTCTGAACTCCAAGGACATGATGGGAAAGTGTTTTCCTTCAAACCTACTTCTGCAGATATCACCTATAGGTAATTCTTGTTATTGTTCTGTGAATTACATATATGATATATCTGATGATGTGTGAGCTATGCTACGGATTTCATCATGCTAGTAACTTATTTTTTTCAGAGGTTTCTTCTATGAGACTAGATCGTTTTTATTTAATACCTTAAGTTCCGGTTAGGGTGAGGATAATTAAATCTCTTGGGAACTACTGGTAGTTGTTTTTTGAAGGACAGTTTCAATACCATAACAATGGCCAGTAAGATTTGGTTTACAGGGTTAATAAAATCTTCGGTTATATAGGGCCTGTTTGGGTGAGCTTTTAGCTTCTGCAGCTTCTCCCAGAATCAGCAGCTCCCCTAAACAGTCTAGCTTTTGGTCCAGATTCTGAGAAGCTGTAGTTGTAGAATCCAGAAAATGAACTAGAAGCCAGAAGCTGGAAAACCTAGCTTTTCCAGATTCTCAGAAGCTGGCTACCAACCAACTACTTCTCCGAATCTTAAGCTCCCCCAAACAGGCCCATAGATAACCAGCAGCTTAAGTCCCTTTACTATCACCATGTGGTGATTTCAGTTAGTCAAGTCAACCAGTTTTTAATAGCTTAGTTTTTTAGTGTTTTTTTCTTGATAATGCACAGCTTTGCTTAATTGTCCATCAAATGTTTACATTCTAGTATCTACCATTTGATAGGGAGATTCCAGAGAGTGAACTGCAATCAGGTTCTCTAAATGCAGAAGCTGGCCAGGCAGTGCCATCTGTGTCATTAGTCAAGAAGAAGTTTCTTGGAAAATATGCAATATCAGCAGAAGAATTCTCTGAGGAAATGGTAAATAAAACAATTATACTCCGTTATATTAATCGACTTCTTTTTGAATTAAGACTTTGCCGCATTAGCTGTTGTTATTCTTTTTCCCATTACCTTTGACCTTGAGCTAGCTTCACTATTCATTGTCAGGTTGGGGCCAAGTCTCGCAACGTAGCATACCTCAAAGGAAAAGTACCCTCATGGGTTGGTGTCCCTACATCAGTTGCGATTCCATTTGGGACCTTTGAGAAGGTTTTGTCTGATGAAATCAATAAGGTTGGCAATTTTTTTGTGAACATTAAATACTGACAGGAGCTTGTGATTGTGTGATGAGCCTGTTTATTCTTCAAGATCAACATATACTTACAAAAATAAAAAACAAATGTACAGTTTGATATTCTCAACCAAAGTTCTTTTTATGTTTCTATCAAACGACATTTTCTGCATTCCACAGGTCTCTTTTGTATGCAAAACCCAGATAAGTTTCTAGCAGGCAATTATTTATTGATCCTTTAGTAGCATCTTCAGAAGCCGGTAGGTCTAGCTCATTGCATTACATCAACTAAATTAGCTGGTTTACAATGACACGTTGAATATGTAATGATTTTTGAGACAGTTGATTGTTTTTTCTTTATTGGCAGGAAGTCGCGCAAACCATACAAATGCTGAAGGGAAAACTTGCTCAAGATGATTTTAGTGCTCTAGGCGAAATACGGAAAACTGTTCTCAATTTAACTGCTCCTACTCAACTGGTAAGATATTATAGCGCAACATAAAGCTGATTAAGTATTCTCCATCTCCGCATATTTCAATAGAAAAAATAGAACATAAACTCTTGTTTGCATTTGTTCCAATCAAAAACCTAAATCTTTACTTTGTTTAAATTTTCTGTTTGGAAGAACAAGGCTTATTTCTTTTGTTTACCAGATCAAGGAACTGAAGGAGAAGATGCTAGGCTCTGGAATGCCCTGGCCTGGAGATGAAGGTGACCAACGTTGGGAGCAAGCATGGATGGCAATTAAAAAGGTCTGCTGTCCTACCATTCATACCGGAGATAGATCCAGACATATATCTCTCTTATTTCTTTCTTTTAGCTCTTTAGAATACGTTTTACCAGTTTAAATACTGGAATTGGACTTCTTTGCATATAACTTTAGCTTCTTTGCATAGAGTACATTTTCTCATAATATATTCATGGGATCATTTGACACCACAAATGGCACCTGGATTTGTTATGGGTAGGGAGAGTTATTAATCGTAAAATACGAATGTTAAAGAAGCCCTTTCTAAAAGTGGTCATCAGATATCTAACTTTATTGTATTTAGGTTTGGGCGTCAAAATGGAATGAAAGAGCATATTTTAGCACTCGTAAGGTGAAGCTTGATCATGACTACCTTTCCATGGCTGTACTTGTACAAGAAATTGTCAATGCAGACTATGCCTTTGTCATTCATACTACTAACCCATCATCGGGAGATTCGTCTGAGATATATGCTGAAGTGGTGAAAGGGCTTGGAGAAACACTTGTAGGAGCCTATCCTGGTCGCGCCATGAGCTTTGTATGTAAGAAAAACGACCTTGACTCTCCCAAGGTAAAAGATTTCTTATTACCACTTGAAATTGTATGTTAAGGTCTACCTGAGCTAAATGCATTCCATTTGATAGGTACTGGGTTTCCCAAGCAAGCCAATTGGTCTCTTCATAAAGAGATCAATCATCTTTCGTTCAGATTCCAACGGTGAGGATTTAGAAGGGTATGCTGGAGCAGGACTGTATGATAGGTTAGTGAAAGTCCATCATAATTTTTGTAGTTCGCTCAAGAATTTATTTGGCATTACAACTAAGCTGACTGCTTGTTTCAGTGTCCCTATGGATGAGGAAGATGAAGTCATACTCGACTACACCACCGACCCCCTCATTACAGATCAGGGATTCCAAAAATCTATCCTCTCGAGCATTGCACGGGCTGGTCATGCCATTGAGGAGCTTTATGGGTCCCCACAGGATGTTGAGGGTGCAGTGAAGGAAGGGAAGCTATACGTAGTACAGACAAGACCACAGATGTAATCTATATGTATATTTTATAGCCAAGTCAATCAGGCAATGTTGTAGAGTAAGATATACGGGCCGTGGGACATGTATAACACGTTACGCCCTTTTTTTTATTATTTGCTTTCATACTCACAATACACTAATTTATAGGGCTTATTTTATCGCCAATAAGTGTAATCTGACTATGATCATAAATAAGCCTCCTAGGCTACTGAAAACCATTAAAGGTTATTTTGATCAACTGGATTTTGCTTCTGCAATGATAATGTAAATATCAGTGGTCTGCTTGCTTTTGGTCCTATCCCTTTAAATAAAGCCAAGAAGTTGAAAAGTATCAGAAAGTTCTTATAAATATATGTTCTCTGAAATGGACAGCTACATGGAGATATCTGAAGCAAATATTTGAAGAGAGCTATCCCCAGTCGACTGTAACCAAATACTGAAAGACACAAATGGTGGGATTCTTCAGCCTCTGTACTTCCACTCAATATTATCGCATGCAGCTCAGGAATGGATCAGTTCAGTATGAACTGATTAGACCAATTAAGTACAGACCAAAGAGCATCATCAGGTGCTGCAGCTCTAAAGGGGAAAAGCCAGGGAGGACTACTACCAAGTGCTGGGAGTGACGGTTAATTCAACGCCTCAGGAGATCAAGGAGGCTTACAGGAAGCTCCAGAAACGACACCATATCCTGATATTGCTGGCTACAAGGTGTGTCGTCCATCCGCATCCGCATCTACTTCGATTTTGGTGTTGCTAGCTACAGGGTTCAGTTTTTAGTTTCTTGGAAGCCCGGATAGAAATGTTATACCTTTATCGATATCAAGCTTATTTTGTTCTTTCTTGTGGAGTTTAAACGTGAAATTCGCACTTGAATTTTCAGGGTCATGCATGACTACACCCTACTGCTGAATGAGGCATACAAGGTATTGATGAGGAATTAATAGTTCAAGGAACGGTGATGCTAGTGGCAGAGGCTTTGGGAGAGGTTTCACTGGAAAAGGGTACAGTTGTTTGTAATGGGCCTGTGAGAAGCCATGCACTCTTTGAGGACGAGAACAAATACATAGGTACGTAGCATCAACATTTCTGATCATATATGAAGGTCTCCCGGTACATGCCATCTTATAAGGTGGACCTTTATGATTTTCTAAAGAATTAATTTTTGAATGGGCTAAGACCCAACCATTAATTCCAACACTAATTAGTGCAGAAGATACAGGTACCAATAGTTGTTCGAGTTTCTAACGAAGCATACACTGTCATTCAAACTGTTTGAGGCACTATTTATCAGGGTACCAATGTACTAAAATTATTTAAATTTTTGAACAAAATTTGAACAAAATATTGCCAAATTTACAAAAAAAATTGAAAAAAATAAAAATTTCGGATGTAATAATATCATATCGGGGTCTGATAGAACCAAAATGTCGTAAATTTCATCCCGGAATTTTGAACCCTGCTATTTATTAGTTCCATATCCATTGCTCCATTGGAGATTTTTTATACCAATATTTTTTTATCTAAACACATGCATTCATCTAATTCGAGATGTATGCATGCAAATCCAGCATTTAAATTTGTAGGCATATTCTTACATGTGTACTGATTGTTCCATCACATCAAACTGTTCGTCCAACAAACTACTAAATCCCTGGTGAATTGTCCTTTCTTGCTCATCTCTCTACTAATGCAGCAAACAATTTTGCTTGAGTTCAGATGGTGTTTTTTTTTATTTTGGAAATTGGAACTGTATCGGACATTTAGTTAAATAGACAACCTAGTTATTTTGTTGGGCATCAGGCCATCAGCTCAACCAGATTGACATGGTCACTTGTGCATGTTGCTTAGAAACAGAATTTATTAAGGGAGCCGCATGTGTTTACATGACAAAATTTTGGTTAGTTCTCCTCCATAATCTGCTCCCCTTTTTCTCGTTCCGATCGATCGATTTGATAGATATCAAGATCGAGCAGCACAAGCAAATTGAGATGATGCTAGGGTGGCGGCAGCGCAGCATATATAGTGGCAGCGCGACGTGCGGTGCGTGGGCGGTAGCAGGTCGAGACTCCACTCAAGTGTGGATTGGCGGCCGTAACAACTAACAAACCATGCTGATTTCGCAGGCCTCAATCTAGAGATAAGTTTTACTCTCTCCATTTTTGTTCAGAGACCAGATGATACCGACGCGCATTAGCAGGGGGAAGGAGGTCGCAGGTCCATCCGCATGAGCAGGCGGCATGCGGGGCTAGCTGATATTTTTTTCATCTAAACACACGTATCCCTCTAATTCTAGATGTGCGCACGCAAATCCAACATTTAAATTTGTAGGCATATACTCACGTGTGTACTGATTGTTCCATTAGTCCAATAAACTACTAATGCATTGGTGAATTGTCCTTAGTTGCTCGTCTATCTACTAATCCAGCAAACATTTTTGCTTGAGTTCAGATGTTGCTTTATATTTTGGAAATTGGAACTGTATCGGACATTTAGTTAAATAGAAAACCTAGTTATTTTGTTGGGCATCAGGTCATCATCTCAACCTGATTGACATGGTCACATGTGCATGTTGCTTAGAAACAGAATTCCCAATCTTAGGTGCTCATGTCTAGAATTAGGGAGCCGCATGTGTTTAGATGAAAAAATTTCGGTTAGTTCTCCTCCATAATCTGCTCCCCTTTTTCTTGTTCCGATTGATCAATCTGATAGATATCGAGATCGAGCAGCACAAGCAAGTCGAGATGGTGTAAAGGTGGCGGCAGCAGCATATATAGTGCCAGCGCGGCGTGCGGTGCGTGGGCAGTAATAGGTCGAGACTACACTCGGGTGTGGATTGGCGGCTGTAACAACTAAAAAACCATGCCGATTTTGCAGGCCTCGATCTAGATATAAGTTTTATTCCCTCCATTTTTGTTCAGAGACCAGATACCCACGCACATTAGCAGGGCGGAGGAGGTCACGGCTGCATCCGCATGAGCAGGCGGCATGGGCGGCATGCGGGGCTAGCCGATATTTTTTCATCTAAACACATGCATCCCTCTAATTCTAGATGTGAGCACGTAAATCCAGCATTTAAATCTGTAGGAATATGCTAATGTGTGTATTGATTGTTCCATCAAACTGTTAGTCCAACAAACCACTAATGAACCGGTTAATTGTCCTTTGTTGCTCATCTATCTACTAATCTAGCAAACAATTTTGCTTGAGTTCAGATGTTGCCTTTTATTTTGGAAATTGGAAGTGTATCATACGTTAGTTAAATAGACAACCTAGTTATTTTGTTGGGCATCTGGCCATCAGCTCAACTTGATTGACATGGTAACATGTGCATGTTACTTAGAAACAGAATTCCCAACCTTAGGTGCTCACAACCGGAGTTAGGGAGCCGCATATGTTTAGATGAAAAAATTTTGTCCTAAGTTCTCCTTCATAATCTGCTCCTCTTTTTTCTTGTTTCGCTCGATCAATCTGATAGATATCGAGATCGAGCAGCACTAGGAAGTTGAGATGGTGCTAAAGTGGCGGCGGCACATCGTGTATAGTGGAAGCACGGCGTGCGGTGCGTGGCCGGTAGCAGGTCGAGACTCCACTTAAGTGTGGATTGGCGGCTGTAACAACTAACAAATCATGCCGATTTCGCATGCCTCGATCTGGAGGTAAGTTTTACTCCCTCCCATGTGCATTAGCAGGGCGGAGGAGGTCGCGGCTCCATCCGCACGAGCAGGCGGCTCGGGCAGCATGCGGGGCTAGACGATATTTTTTTCATCTAAACACATGCATCCCTTTAATTCTAGATGTGAGCACGTAAATCCAGTATTTAAAATTGTAGACATATGCTCACGTGTGTACTGATTGTTCCATCGAACTTTAGTCCAACAAACCACTAATGCACCGGTAAATTATCTTTTGTTGCTCATCTATCTACTAATGATGTTGCTTTTTATTTTGGAAATTGGAAGTGTATCAGACGTAGACGTTAGTTAAATAGACAACCTAGTTATTTTGTTGGGCATCTGGCCATCAGCTCAACCTGATTGATATGGTCACATATGCATGTTGCTTAGAAACAGAATTCCCAACCTTAGGTGCTCACATCTAGAATTAGGGAGCCACATGTGTTTAGATGAAAAAAAATTCGGCCTACGATTTCCTCCATAATTTGTTCCCCTTTTTCTCGTTCCGATCGATCGATCTGATACATATCGAGATCGAGCAGCACAAGCATGTCGAGATGGTACTAGGGTGGCGGCAGCGCAACATATATAATGGCAGTGTGGCGTGCGGTGCGTGGGTGGTACTAGGTCGAGACTCCACTCGGGTGTGGATTGGCGGCTGTAACAACTAACAAACCATGCCGATTTCGCAGGCGTCGATCTAGAGATAAGTTTTACTCCCTCCGTTTTTGTTCAGAGACCAGATACCCACGCGCATTAGCAGGGGGAAGGAGGTCGCAGGTTTATCTGCATGAGTAGGTGGCATGGGCGGCATGCGGGGCTAAGCTGATATTTTTTTCATCTAAACACATGCATACCTCTAATTCTAATTCTGGATGTGCGCACGTAAATCCAACTCCATCGAACTGTTAGTCCAACAACTACTAATGTATCCGTGAATTGTTCTTAGGTGCTCGTCTATCTACTAATCCAACAAATAATTTTGCTTGAGTTCATATGTTGCTTTATATTTTGGAAATTGGAACTGTGTTGGACATTTAGTTAGAAAGACAACCTATAGTTATTTTGTTAAAATGAACTTTTTTCCATAAAAAATTCCTGGGTCGGCGCAATCCAGCGAGGCCGCCCCTACGGCCCACTCGTCAGCGGCAGCCCACCCGACTGGGCCGGTCATCGGCGCCAAAAAGGCCTCCTCCACGCTGGCCCCGCAGGCTGCCGTGCCATCCTCCTCCTCATTTCCTCTCTCACCTCTCCGCGCGCCGCCTCTCGCCGCCGCGGACGAAACCCTAGCTAAAACCCTCCTCTCCCTCTCCCTCTCCCTCTCACCGAGCCGCGCGGCCTCGCCAAGGACCGGCAGCGATGGGGAAGAGCAGCAGCAAGAAGAAGAAGGACAAGGTGATCCTGCCCCCGCAGCTGCCGCCGGAGGTGGACGACGACGACGTGGTGGTCTCTGACGAGGACGTCGAGTTCTTCAGGGGCAACGAGGGCCACGCCCGCGCGCTCGCCACGCTCGACAGGAAGTCCATCGACAGCTACGTCACCAGGGTCGCCCACCACGACGAGGACGAGGTCGAGCGCCTCTACGAGGAGCGCGAGCGCAGGAGGAAGGCGGTCGAGGCCCTCAGGCCCAAGAACCACGACGACGACGACTTCGAGGTCGACCGCGTCGACGCCCTCCCCGTCAAGACCCTGCAAGGGGAGCTGGTCTACAACAACGGTACTATACTTTTATTTTAATCTTATTTGTTGTTCTGCTGCCGCGACACACTACTAAATCGATTCAATTCTCACTATAATTCAAGTCCTTATTCGAATGCAAGAATTCAATTCTCACTCTAATTCATAGTCCTTATGCAATGTAAGAATTGCACATCTCTTCCTATAGATACATACTCCCTCCATCCCAAAATAAACAATCGATGTAACACATCCTAGTACTACGAATTTGGACAGGGCATCCTGTACTAGGTTTGTTTATTTTGGGACGGATTGAGTAATTGGGTAGGACATTTCGATATTATTGAATAGTAAAAGGGTGTGGCAAACTCGTTACTTCCAAATCCACTACTCTCGTTGTCACAGTTGCAGTACTGAGGAGAAAATGTTGAACTGCAAAGCGAAATTTGTCTATGCATTGCCAATGCCTAATCACAAATGTTTGTATTTGGAATGGTCCCCTGGGAATGTAAATGATTGGAATAAACTATACAAGTGGAAGAAAGACTGACCGATCTAGCTATAAAAACTAGTTGACATGTCCAAGGGTACTGAACAAATTCACTCGGTACATTGAGCCTAGGTCTTTCGGCCTTTTCATTCGCAAATCATGCAGTCCTGTGTACCAGGTTGAATGAATTGGACATTGGATTTCAGCTGGCAAGTACATAGAATCCACCATTCTTTTTCTATGAAAGAGCTAAATTTTGGCGCTTATGCTGTTATGCATGTATGGTCATGTATCCATTGTTTTAAAGGACTAACGCATACTAGTTTGTATGGAACTGGCTATAATGATCTTTGCTTCCTTAAATAAATTAGATGTTCAGTGTAACTGAAAGATCACGGCAAGACCTTCTCCAAATAGTGAGAGAAAAGGCACAAATATTGTTCTGTGGATATTAATTTTGATTAAGCACAGAAGAAGCTATATGCATCAGTTTCTATGTGTTACTGAATGATGCCTTTTGAAGCTTAAAGATGCCTTTGTCATATGCCTATGCTACTTGGTGCTATTCTACTTAGTTAACATATTTGTATTGCCGTGCAGCCAAGAAAGCGAGATTTGATGACAGTTCTAATAATGTTGAATCTAAATCTGAAGACAAAGTAGGAAATTCCAAACAAACTATTCAAAAGGGAGAACGGAAGGAAAAATCCAAAAGCAAAAAGGGAGATGGTAAATTGCAAAATGTGCAAGCTCAAACTGAAGCTTCAAATGGAAAATTACAATCAAAAGTGCTGGTATTACCTTGTTCTTTTTTTGCATCACAGAGATTCATTTTTCAACAAGCCTTTTGCTTATGATACATAATTTTAATGCCTGTTAGGAAGACAAGCTGTCTCGACCTCCTTGCTTTGGTTGTTGGAAAAACCATATGCTATGTACTATATATATGCCTTCTTCATAACGGTAGCACAAAAAATATATGATTTGGCCTTGCTTGATTGCAACTTTGTCAGTATGGAAGTATCCTATGCATCATTGTTGATCAACATACATCCACATATATAATTTGACTGTCATACCTGTATTAGTTTAGTGCTCTCTGGCTTATTCGTTGTTGACATGAAACGCTAAGATTTTTCGAGAAAACGCTAGGTCAGATGGTACGGAACTGTGAACATCACAGTATGTATATGAGTTCTGGGTATTAAACTATTAATCATACAGCCTATAGAATGCAGTGCAAGAATAACCATGGAGAAAAAAGCATGTTTGTAAAATGTTGGGTCAATATTAAAACAAATGATGGGCCCACAATTTCAACCCTTCAAGATCTTAAAATCACCATGTTGCTATTTGTTAGTTAATGCTTTTTTTTTCACATATGTCTTGTACTTGCTCCGATTGACAGGAGGAGGTGAAGGAGGAACTTTCAGCTGAGGAATTATTTGAGAAAAAGAAGGCCCAGCTGGCTGAAATAGGGATGTCTATGCTTGAAGATCCTGAATCACATATTAGATCTCTAAATGATATGTTAAACATATGCAATGACAAAGACCAGAAGGTTGTTAAACTTAGTCTGATGTCCTTGCTTGCTGTGTTCAGGGACATTATTCCTAGGTATGTGATGGTTGATTTTCATTTTGTATTTTGATTACATATTAAGGTGTCTTTCTCATGCCTCATTCTCTGTTTGCTGCAGTTACCGCATTAGGCAGTTGACAGAAAAAGAGCTTACGGTAGAGGTTTCAAAAGATGTAAAAAAGATGAGATATTATGAATACACACTTCTTCGCTCCTACAAGGTTTCATTCCACCTCCTTGCTTTTTAATTAGTGACAGACATTATCCTTTATTCTGTAATTCTCTCATATGAATTATGTTTGAATGGTTCCATCATTTATTTTGTTGTTTGAAATTGATTTGCATGGGGATGAATATGGTACAAAAACATTGAGCTACAAAAATTCTCAACCTTTGCCTGTTCCCCATATTTTTTGTTTGCCTCCCAACTCCCCATGTAAGAGGATTATTGTCTTGTTGAAAAGGTACACATAATGTGTATAACGTGCATATATCATGCCATGCACTATAGCCGAATGCAGTTACATTTTCCTTGCATTCGGAAGTTAGTTTCAGAAGTTATATTTCTTGGGTTTGATTTTCCTTTGCTCTTCTATGCTTTTTCAGGCATACCTGCAAAAGTTAATCTCCTTGGAGAAGCAACCAAATTTTTCCGCTCTGGCTGTTCGTTGCATGTGTACTTTACTAGATACTGCTCCACATTTCAACTTCCGTGAAAGTATACTTGCCAGCGTGGCAAGAAATTTAAGTTCTCCAGATGATGCAGTGAGGTTGACTACGTAACCTGTATTAATTTATATCAAAATCATTGTTTCCTGTTAGATGTTGATTTAGCTGTGCAACTGATTTCCTTGAATAATGTCTTGTGTAGTTTGATTTGTGGATCATCTGTTTTTTATTTATTTAATTTTTGATCATCTGATGGTCTAAATTGTCTACTTAAAATGATGGGAAACACTGGGTTACCTTTTTAGCCAACTGTTCCATTTAATGTTGTCCTCACATTCTTGCATTTCCCCCAATTCTTTGTAGGAAAATGTGTTGTGAAACGATAAGGTCTCTATTTGTAGATGAAGGAAAGCATCGTGGTGAGGCAACTGTTGAAGCTGTGAGATTGATTGCTGATCATGTGAAGCTAAACGATTGCCAGCTTCATCCTGATAGCATTGAGGTATGTGCCAATATTTGTATTTATTACATGTGATATGTGGTTATTATTTGTCTTGTCGCATCTTCACCATGCAATTAATATGTTAATGGACTTACTTCACCAGCTTGGGCCCTATGGGCAGCAGCTCATTCCTAGCTGCTGACCACTGCCCCATTTCATCCAACATAGCTGAAAATCAACTCCATGTGCTAATCGTGGCCACTTTTTTCTGTAAGGTCTTCCTATCTTTGAGATTTGATGATGATCTTGGAAAAGATGACACAGAGGAAGAAAAGGGAAAACCAAAGAAGAACAAACGACGACAAAACCAGGAAGTCCCAAAGCAATTGCCAGTGAGTGATAATAAGAAAGCCAAACAGGAATTGATCTCAAAGGCTAGAGAAGAGGTAACATTTGTTGCATAATTTGATAGGTATAGCTCAAACTGTATAAGAAATTCACTTATTTATTATTATTACTATTTTTGCAGGTTGATGCTGAACTTAGATCTGTTTCCTTTACTCTTGATCCAAAGGAAAGGAGAAGGATACAGAAAGAAGCACTCTCTGCTCTTTTTGAGACTTACTTTCGGATTTTGAAGCATAGCATGAGTATTTCAAATTCCAGGTATGTGCACTTTAATGTTGTCACACTAGTTTTTGCCATAACAATTTCATTACTGGCATTGTACCATTCGAGTTTATCCAATATGATAAACTTTCACTTACTTTGGAATAAAGTTACTATGCTGACAGTCATTATATCATCATCAGGGGCAAGGTCATTAATGTCTCCCCAGATGGCTCACACCCACTACTTGCTCCATGTTTGGAGGGTTTAGGAAAATTCTCACACTTAATTGATTTGGATTTCATGGGTGAACTTGTCGCGTGCCTCAAGAAGCTTTCTGGGTATACCGACCATCACTCTGGCACAGTACATGACAATACACTGTCTGTATCAGAACGTCTGCAGTGCTGCATAGTTGCATTTAAAGTCTGGAGGAGCAACCTTGAAGCTCTGAATGTAGACCTGCAAGACTTCTTTGTGCAGCTTTTTAACCTCATTCTGGAGTATCGGCCTGACAGGTTTGAATTCTATTTATTTTGGTGCTGGTGATGGGGAAGAAATATATATACTCTTGTCCTTTCTAAAACACAGATTCATGGATAGGTAGCATCATAGCAAATTTTTCTTCCGTTATTTTTTGCTTACATTACTTATTGTTGGTCAGTGTTTCACCATTGAAATGCTTATTATTACTCATAAATAACTACTCCCTCCGTTTCACAATGTAAGTCATTCTAGCATTTCCCACATTCATATTGATGTTCAATGCTAGAATGACTTACATTGTGAAACGGAGGAAGTAGTTATGTACAGCTATACCACATAACCATGCTGATTACTGACAATGCATTTTATCATGTACTCCAATGCCGATTATAATGTATAATAGAAGAACATTATACAGTCTTGCATATGGTAAGCACCATTTTATTAATGTGGAGGCAGCAGTGACCAACATGTTTAATTCATGGCTTATGGCGGTCCACTTTGTGTCTTCCATCAACAATACACTTTCAGAATGTTTTCGTGTTGTCATTTTTTGGTAAATCGAATGGTGGTTATGTCTAAGATAGCTGTTGCAAAGTTTTCAAGTAACTTAAGAACACAACCTGATTTCTGTCTCTATCCAGAGATCGTGGTGAGGTATTAGCTGATGCTCTGAAGACACTTCTCTGGGAAGGCAAACAGCAGGATATGATAAGAGCAGCTGCTTTCATTAAACGCCTAGCAACCTTTGCTTTGTCCTTTGGTTCTGCAGAAGCCATGGCAGGTTTGTGTTTGTTTTGCCTTGCACTTTCCCAGTCTTTCTACCTTGATTGTAGTCCAAATATTAGATCCATTGGGGTACGTTTGTTTTTCCTTCCTGGACAGTACATAATATGTATTAAGTACAAACATCTGTTTCATTTCCTTTGACATAATTGCTGACATATTTGAACAATATTTCAGCATTAATCACACTGAAGCATCTTCTTCAAAAGAATAGCAAGTGCAGAAACATGTTGGAAAATGATTCTGGTGGTGGCTCCCTGTCTTGCTTAGTTGCGGTATTTGTCTACCCTTGTGTTGTGCAATTCATCAACATCAATTACAGCTTGTGTTTACCTAATAATGCTACCTTTCATTTGTGCAGAAATATGACCCAGAAGCTAAAGATCCTTATCTGAGTGGGGCACTTGCCTCAGTCCTATGGGAGCTTAGCCTTCTGCAGAAGCATTACGATTCCTCTGTTTCCTCAATGGCCTCAAATATCTTGAGCATGGCCAATTTGAATCCTACACAGAATCCTGTTCCAATTTCAAATGCAAGCCCTCTAGAAGCATATAGAGACTTGTCAATGGAACGGAAATTGTCTAAACCAGCGAATAAATTGTTGCCACTAAACTGCAGAAAGAAGAGGCGTGGTAAGGAGTTTGTTGCCCTAAGCCCTGCAGCGCTCGAGGGATCAGATTGCGTTGCGGGTGGAGATGAACTCAAAGAGAAGTTAAAAAATCATTTTGCGGTACTAAGAGGTATCTCAGAGAATGAGAGATTGAGAGCTGAGCTGAACCACACGTTGTCATCCATCAACTTGTACAAGGAATACAAGAAGCAGAAGAAAAGCAGGAAATCAAAGGCTGTTAAGAAAAAGGTTTCAAGGGCTTAAGTTGTGCTGCGTTTGGGGGAAATTTTTGCACACCAGGGACCAAAGGTGTGCAGAATGAACAATTTTGCCATACCCACTTTGTAGCTTATCGTAGCTTTTGGGTGTAACACATTTGCAGTTCCAAGCATTTCTTTTTAAGCTCGTTCTATTTCCTGACATGTCCTTTTATTCTTGTTGCCTGGACCTAACCAGGCTAACAAGTTTGCTGCCGCTGTACAAGATATAACAGTGGCATGCTTGTGTTATCTATATATATTGTTATGCATGAACAATGCCATCCCCTATGCAAAACTACAGATTGGTAGTCGCAAGGTGTAGGGTGCTCGCGCAGAAAGGGGGAAAAATAGTAGGTTTTACTGTCCACTAGCAAAATATCCATGTTTTGCTATGTTAAAGTACACATTTATTTGAATATATGTTTTTCATATTTAAACATATATTAGACTATTGCATAATGGAGGACATACTGGGAACTAATTTATAAAACATGCGAATGCAGGTAGCATAACTATCACTGTTATCTTTTATTGAGGTATATAGATTTGTATCATTATTCACCTAACATCTCAATTGACATATATTTATAATTAGGGACGCAAACGACTCGGAAACGGATTAAGCAAACACCTAACCACACTAAGGCTGTGTTTCTATAGTTCTACTCCCTTCGTCCAAAAAAGTTTAATGAACATAGATAAGAGTATGTCCAGATTCGTTGTACTAGAAAACTTTATCTAATACTAGGTTGAGTATTTTTGGGACGGAGGGAGTATTTTTGGGACGGAGGGAGTAGTTCTGTTGAGGACATCCCAGTTATGACTATACCAAGTTCAACTACTGCTACACGTGATCAAGTAATGGAAGGACTGATTAGATGCATCTATAGATGAGAATGTTATACTACCTAAACGTTCTACTTTGGTTGTGCTTATGAATATGCAACAAGAGGAAGCTGAATCGGACGGTGAAAAAGGACCAGTAAAAACGGACCAGTTCAGCTTCAAAACGGACTAGTTCAAGAAATCGTCATAACTTTTGATTCTCAAAAGCTATGAAGGTGAATGAGCACTTTCTGGAAAGCTTATTGAGTCTATTTTCACACCCAACAAACCGCTCGTCCATTGGATTTCCCACTAAAGAGTTATGGCCATATTAGTGGACACTGCTTTGAAGGCCAACAGTTTGCCAAGACTTCCAACTTTCCATGCAAAACTGTATCAATCTACAATATTTCGCAGTGCATTATGCACATGGTGTGAAATCTTATTAAGTTAGCTTTCCAACGCAACCTACCCCATGTCATTTGGACTTCCCAATAAGGAGTAATGACATTTTTACTGAAGGCTGCTCACTATCCAAACAGACGCGCGAGTATTCTCGGGAATTCGCTTGTTGAGACCTTTGGGCTAGCCTATGTCCTTCAAACTTTCAGGACGTTTCATACCTATCTAGGAGGGTTGTTCCTAGTAGAAATATCTCCTATGTGCTTCCAGAAAACAGCTTTTGATGATTTGATAACCTGAATGGTTTTTGCAGCCGAGCTGCTTGAGTATCTTACACCCCTTTGTTCTTGCGAGTTCTTCTTGGACTTGTGAGGAAGATCTCTTTGAGGTCCCCTAGTTCGTGCTCTACGGCTTCCAGTTCAGCTGCACCGTATTGTGAGGATTAGTACCGGATTGTGGTTTTGCGGTCGTTCGGAGATCGAGTCGAAGTCCTCACGGTTTCGGTGTCTCTCTCCCCGTCGCTTGGTCGCATCCAACCTTGGCAGGTATAAAGCTAGTTACCCACTGTTTCTACAGCAAGTTATCATTGGTTTCTACCTACTGTCGTGAAGATCGGGCCACCCTTCGCTAGTGTGTTCGAATCAAGTTCCCAGCTCCATCTGCCTCATTTTCCATGTGCACGCTTCCCAAACTGCTAAACGGTGTGTTTTTTTTGCAAAAAAGTTTATATACGAAAGTTGCTTAAGAAAATCATATTGATCTATTTTTGAAAAAGAAATTAGCTAATACTTAATTAATCACGCGCTAATGGACCGTTCCGTTTTCCATGCGCACTGTTCTGAATGGGAACCTCCAGTAACGAACAAAGCCACAATTCAAAACATAATTCTACACTTTCAAAACATATCAAAAGGATCACTGATTTTCTTTTTCTTTTTTCAGCACCTTTCTGTCTTACTTTTTTCAACGGGAACCGACTACTGACCTGATTAGGGACTAAAATATAAATGTGAATATTACAGGTACTCAAATGAAAATGCAGATACAAATTAAAATATCTCAAAAATGGAAAACTCGCATTCTGCATATTTCGTTTCTGCTAAAATATATCAAATTTGTAACTTAACAATTGGGAGGGGCTACATATGTGTCGACAGATTTTCAACGTAAAATCACCCAAATATTTGCACCGTTAGATTAAGTAGTAAAACAACATATGAATAAGTTCATCTGAGGTCCCTTAATTTGTTACGAATCTGATTTTCGTCCTTCAACCAGAAAACCAGATACAATGGGTCCCTCAATTGTCAAAACCAGTGCAGATGAGGTCTCTCAGCGGTTTGGACGGCGGTTTTGGCTGACGTGGCGCCTACGTGGTTAATTTGACTCAGTCTTCATTTGACGTGGCATTGACGTGACGCTTACGTGGCAATTTGATCCGGGAAAAAATAATAAACCCCATGGAACCCACATGTCAGTTTCACACACAAATTAATAAAAAATGATGGGGCCCCACATGTCATTCTCACCCATCCTCTTCTTCCTCCCCTCTCCCCCATCTCCCCTCTCTTCCTTTCTCTCCCCTCTCCTCTCTCCAGGCACGCCGAGAGGGAGAAGGGTGGCGGCTGCCGGTCGGCGGGGAGAAGGGCAGGGCACGACAACAATCGAGCGGGGAGGCCGGTCGGCGGGAGAAGCGCAGGGGGCGACAGCCATTGGGCGGAGAGGCGGTTGAGGAGTGGCGTGTGGTAGCTGATAACAGAGGAGCTGTGCGCCGCGACAGACGGGAGACGGGAGAGGAGGGAGCGGCGGCCGGAGCTCCGGGCCATCGTCGGACTGTGGGTCGTCGATCACGGCGCTGGCAGGGTGCCTGACGTACATCATGCTGGGGAGACGGGGAGCCCCGAGGCGAGGCCCGCCAAGGACTATTAGAGTATGTGGATAAGATCGTATTGTATCCGTTTTGTTAGGGTAGGATAGGATTAGTTTCTATTTCTTTCTCTCGGACCTTATTTGCGTGGTTTTGTAAGTTGGGGGATGCGTTGTACCTGGTTTTGCGCTCAAGGGACGAATCTTGAACTCGGTGACAAATTGAGGGACTCATGTGAACTTATTCCAACAACAGATGTATGCCACTCATATAGGTTTGCTGAGTTGTTTCGGCCTTTAATGGGCCTGCCTGTTGTAAGGGTCATGACGGAGCCCACGTCAATTCCTTAATGGGCCAATCAAAATTTTCATTTATTTGTCTATCTTTTTCATGGAACATTTGTGGGATGTCATTTTTTTTTTTACCGAAAAACTACCAGGGCTTTGCCTAGCAGTGTATTTTTATTAAAACAGAATATGTACAAAGTTACAGGAAGAAAAAAAGGAGCTTATAAAGAATTACAAAGTTTGTATCCAATAAAAACTATTTGTTTTAAAGGCTCCTTCATTCTACATATATGCCGAAGAAAGTTTGTGGGATGTCACTTAATCAGAAAAAGCATATATATGACTTCACCAAAAAAATATATTACATTATGAAGGAAAACAAACAAATTTCAAATATTTGCACTTAATAAAGATAGAAATTACAATCAAAGTTACAATTGAAACAAGTTGTAAATATTATTTTATATATTATATAGCACTGTAAATACTACATTAAAAATAAACCTAAAATCATATTCCGATAGGTACTGACAACTCTCGATTTGGTGGAAACTTGACACACACAATCCAGTTTCCAATAAACACGATTCGAACCTGCAACCACAGCACCATGTCTCCTTTTATCAACAGTGCGCGGTCCGATTGACCTCACTGACAAGGCTAATCCAAACATGTGAATTGAAGAACAGAACCAAAAACAAGGTAGATTACAACTCAATTACATATGAATGATTTAGCACTTGAATTTTGGGTTCCACAAACCGAACTAGTAGCGAAACTACATTAGATAAGATAATCTAAGCAAAACCTCACTCTGAACTATGACGACTACTGAATAAATATGATTAGGGATAGGGTTTAGCCCACGAAACAATTACAAAGCCCAAAGCCCAAATCAGACTCCGACTGGATAAGGTATATAGCTTGTTTTGTAGTTTCCTAACTCCTTGGAAAGAATTTTGATGTAGGACTAGAACCATATCAAAGTAGACTCCATAAGCTTTCCAACAAGTACTCATGGGCCCCGAGAGTCCTTCTGGATCAGTGGCTATATTTGTTTGAAGTTGATGCTGTTAGGAGGTCTGAACGAATACGAATCCAAAACGTACAGAACTTCATCTCTTGCCTTCTATGGATCAAAAATGATGTGGTAATGTTGGAGTAGACTTGGGGAAAGTCTTGCTTTGGTCCCCAATCAACTTCTTTGGTCATCCATATATTTTCCCTTTACCAAGGCAAGTATCTCTATAAATGAGAACACACAAAACTTATAGTGTAATAATATTTGTTCGAACGCTCGCCGGCTTTGCCCTTCCGACACTAGCCTCCCTGCCGCCACGGATCCATGATCGCCGCGTGCGTCGGGCGTGCAGTCCGTGGCGCTACCCCTCCTATCTCTCTGAACGCCTTCGGCCATGCCCGGCCTCGTCTTCCGGTCACGTTCCGCCATCACCGGTCTGATCGTGAGCGAGATCGTCGCCTCCGCAACGTCCTCGTTGTCGCCATCGATCTCATCGCCACTACTGACGATCTCCTGTCGATGCGCTATCACCACCTCATGTTTCCTCCTCCACATGTCTTCTTGATCCAATACTAAAACCTTCTGCTCTTGTACCACTTGTTATAAAAGTTAGTTAATACAGCGGAACGACGACTATCCTTCTTGATCGCTTAAGCCATTGATTACCCAAGACACGTCAAATAACGACACATGAACACACGATATTTGTTAACGAGGTTCAGCCGAATCCTACAACCCCGGGGCTCTGATTATGAGTGCTCCTCCGCAACCAATATAGCTCCTAGCCGCTACGAGACTATGGCTTCGCCGCCATCATCTCTATGCGTGTCTACGTTGCATTGTAGTCACTATGGTTACATTGTGGTGCCCCCCTCTCTATTTAAAAGAGATGCCGGGTTATAGAGTCTGACTCTAACTCCATCCCTACCAACTATTACAACTCCAAGTTCAATCGTAATCAAATAGGACTAGTATATTCGACACATATTCTAACATCAACTTGTCACAGGGTAAAAATGTTCATTCCTATAAATTTTATCCATCCAATTGAATAAAATAATGGTCATAATGTTTTTCAGCAAATTACGTACCACCAAACTAGAGTGTAGTCTTACAAAGATAGGTTTATATATACATTCCACGTCAAAAATTTTTGCCATTTTTTATTTACCGATCCCGAAAGAAGGATTTTGCTGCCCTGGTATATATGCGTCACAAAGCTGGCAACAAATTTTTAATCGCAGACATTGTTAGAATTATTAAAAAAGCATATATTGCATGCCGCTAATAATCAGAGGTGCATTATTGTGCTAAACTGATCAAACTTGATACTGATATCCATGATAGAGAAATCTGGTTCATTGGCGTCATCATTTTGCCATGATGAATTTAGTATGAATTGTTTATTCTTCTTAATTAATCTAGCTAGCTAGCTACTAAATGTTTGAGCCATACGTGTCTCGTCAACAACACTTACTAAACTGCTAAATGGTACATTTTTTGCAAAAAGTTTCTATATGAAAGTTGCTTTAAAAAATCAAATTAATCTATTTTTGAAAAAAAATAACTAATAATTAATTAATCACGCGTTAATGGATCGCTCCGTTTTCCGTATTTACTGTACCAGCTGGTAACCGGTTCTGGCGAACACACCCTAAATGTGTTTTGCTCTGGTGTTACCATCTTTGGAAGAATTCGATTTTGTTCCTCAGGGTATTTGTGGATCATGATGTCACCGTTCATCAGTTTTTTTTTTAAGATAATGGATTAAACCGGCCTCTACATCTAAACGGATGTACACAGCCAAATCACCACCGTTCATCAGTATCTAGCTCAGATAGCTCCAAGTTCGTATAAATTAATTAACCGGGAGAATCGACAATCGTAAGATGGTGGCGATGCACTGTCAGACCAATAATTCGTTCTTATATTTGACAACACTGTTAAATAAAAAATAGTATTAGCAAACAATGTGTAATGAATCCTAGTCGTACAAAATTGTAAAAATAATATTGAGTTTTATTAATAAAAAGTGGAAGTAGCATTTTGTCAACAATTGAAAATATCATATCGTGGACAAATTATTATTTCTAATTTGGTTTCACCTCTCTTGTTAATTAATCCCCGTTAAAGTCCAGAAGTGTTTAGTGTTTATATATTTAGGGACAATTTTAGTACTCCCTTCGTACTCATCAAGAAAGTCGTTTTATACAGCGACACGGTCTTCAAAATACAACTTTGACTTCTTGTTTCTACAAAAATATATATTGAAAAGTGACATATGTATACTTTTAAGAAAGTATTTTTAAGATAAATCTATTGATATAATTTTTACATTTTTAAACTTAACAACTTGAGGAGTATTATACAGGAAAAAGTACGAATTACCCCCCCGAACTATCGCGGTCGACCGAATTACCCCCCTGAACCACAAAATCGGACATTCTTCACCCCCAACTATGCAAACCGGATAAATTACCCCCCTCGACCAAATCGCGGTAGTTTTAGTCTATATAGCATACACGTGGCAGTCCAGTCAGCATTCTATTTATTAAAAAATGTGGGACCCACCTATCATATTCCTCTTCCATTCTTCCTCTCCTTCTCACTCTCTGTCTCACTCTTCCTCTCTGCGGCTGCGGGCGGGGAACACAGAGCGGCGGCAGCAGCGGCGGCGTGGGGTGACGCGGAAGTAGTGGCAGCAGGGGATAAGGAGGAGGCGGCGGCGGCTGCGGCCACGACGAGCAGCCGCCCCCTCGGCGTGGCTTCCCCCTCCCCCCCTCTCTCTCTCTCTCTCTCTGGCGCCGTCAGGAGAGCTGGCATAGCGGCACCGTCAGCGAACTGGTCGAGCCAGGCACAGAGATCTGACGCGGCCACGGCGGTCTCATCGCCGTGGTTGCCGGACGCGTCGGGCTACGGCGCCAGCGGCCCGACGACGCGCACGCACATGAAGCCCAGGTCGGCGAGACTCTCTGTCCCAACGCCCGACGGCGTGCCCGCACGCGCATGAGGGCTCTCTCTCTATCTCTCTCCCAACGCGCATGCGCATGAAGCCCAGGCCGGCATTGAGGCGTGGCTGCTCGCCGCCGGAGCGGGGAAGACGGCAGCGACGGCGTCGTCGATGTGCCCGGTTACCAAAGGTGACCTCCGCGTCGACGACCTCATCCCCAACCACGCCCTCCGCTGCATCATCCAGGCGTGGTGCGTCGCCAACCACTGCCGTGGCGTCGAGCGGATCCCCACGCCGCGGGTGCCTGTCACGCTGGCACAGGCGGGCGAGGTGTTGAGCTTGGGCGAGGTCGAGGCCGCCGCGCGGGCGGGCGACGCGGCGAGGTGCGGCGCGGCGGTGCGCGAGGTCGGCCGCCTCGCGCGGGAGTCCGATAGGGACCGGTGGTGCCTCGCGTCATCTGGCGCCGCCAGCGCACTCGCCGCGGCGGTCGCATCGTTCGCCGCAGTGAGTGACTCGTCAGCGTCGTCGGTCCTGCTCAACGACGTCCAGGCGTCGCTGGTGCTCGTCATGCCGCTCGACGAGAAGGCCATCATGGCCATCGGCTCATCGACCGCGTCGGTGGCGCTGCTCGCCAACGTCGCCAAGCACGACGACCTGCAGAGGAGGCTCCAGGCGGTGGTCATCATCAGGGAGATCGTTGTGTTGTCCTCGTGCTGCTAACGCAACGGCGGCGCCACCACCGCCATTGATATCAACGACAACCTCGACGGGATCATCGAGAGTGAGAGAGAGAGAAGAGAGAGAGGAAGAGTGAGAGAGAGGAAGAATGGAAGAGGAGTATGATAAGTGGGTCCCATACTTTTTAATAAATAGAATGTTGACTGGACTGCCACGTGTACGCCACGTAGACCAAAACCACCACGGATTTGGTCGAGGGGGGTAATTCGTCTGGTTTGCATAGTTGGGGGTGAAGAATGTCAGGTTTTGTGGTCTAGGGGAGGTAATTCGGTCGACCGCGATAGTTCAGGGGGTAATTCGTACTTTTTCCAGAAGTGTTTAGTGTTTATATATTTAGGGACAATTTTAGTATTCCCTCCGATGTACTCGTAAAGAAAATCATTTTGTACAGCGAATGATCTCCAAAACACAACTTTGACTTCTTGTTTCTATAAAAATATATATTGAAAAGTGTGTTGGCAACTTTTTGTGACAAGTCGATAAGCACGATCACAACACCTAAATGTCATACGGTGATATGAAGTTGCCAACCACCTCGATCTAGCCAAAAGGCCAAATCAAGATGGGTTTTGTAGAAAAATAGCTAAATGGGCTAGCGGAGCCGATTTGGAGATCAAAATCAGCCTCTAGGCCGATTTAGATCGATACGAGGATAACTACCCGTCTCGTGGGCAAAACGGAAGGTTTTCAGGACAAACCTACAAAGAGGTGTCGCACTCTCGCAGCAGCGGCGGACGGTTTACGACGCAAACCGACAAAGATGGACTAAACTAGGGTAAAATAGAAAACACGGTAAAAGAACGATTCAAGTAGATTGTATTCAGGGGTTTTACAATGAACTAGCCTTGTCCCTTAAATAGGGGTTGGTCTTGCCCTCTACAGGCCCTTCTCCGCGTCCAACTCGGGATAGAAACCAAAGGAAACACGAAACCTACCTTCCCGAGCAAGGAAATCTGAGACCCGACGAAAACAGACTTGAACTCGGACCCTGACAGTCTGACCGCCCACATACCTGCAGTCAGACCGGCCCTACTAGCCGGTCAGACCGCCCACACACCTGTGGTCTGACCGGCCATGTGAAGGAAACCCGTCACTTTCCAAACTTTGGCAATTTTCCCTTATTTCGTCCATAGGTGCCAAATTTGGGTGTAAACACATGCCCCCCTGCCTTTTTAGTGAACATACGTGAACGTAAAAGCATAGAACATGTTATCTCAGCGCGATAATCCAATTATTGGTCATAGGACTTCCTAAGCATCTTGCCAAATGCTCGGGAAGTATTTCTTCAAGTATTTCCCATTAATTGCTCTCTGGAAACACCGTCTTGAAGTGTCTTCATCTCCTTCAAATTCTTCAAACACTTGTCGATGACGTCTTCAAAATTGCTTCCCATCAAGGTCTTGTAATCTTCAACTGACAAGTCGTCTTGCTTGAAATACCGAAGAGAGCCAAGATTTACCTCAATTGGCAAAACGGCAATTTCAACAATGTTTTATTACTCGACTCGGCTTATCCATTAGCCTGAGCGTAGTAAGGAGAAGAACTCAACAACTTAATATCATAAGATTCGGCAAAACTTCTCACTTCCTTAGACATAAAAGAAGCTCCTTTAACGTCTGAGGAAAACCGAATCTATGAACAATATGCTTAAAAATAAAGTCAATTATCTCCGTACAAGTAATATTCTCGAGCGGCACGGCTTCGGCCCACTTAGTTAAGTAATCCATTGCAACTAGCACGGACCAATGCCCTTTTGATGACGAAGGATAAATTTGACCAATGAAATCCAAAGCCCAACCTCAGAACGGCTATAGTTTAATGATAGGATCCAACACAGCGGTAGGTGCTAATTGAACATTGCCGGTCCGTTAACAAGCTTCACTCCCTCTATAGCATTTGAAACAATCATCAATTATTTTCGGTCAATGAAACCCCACTCTCCTAAGCAACTAATTTATCTTACGGGCCGATTGATGAATCTCACAAATCCCTTCATGCACTACTCTCCTAGCAACTTTAGATATCTAAGTAATACTCCATCTATTTTTCGGCGATATAATATTTGAGCGCTTGCCGCCGAATCTTCCGATCAATCTTAAGTGTAGTATCTTTCAAATATCTAATCAAAGGAATTCTCCAAGCTATTTCTAACTCATGGGCACAAATATCCGAATTCACAATTAATTCGGCATTTTAATCAATTGTAACGTGCACCCAACTCTCTGCCCGGGATCGGTCAGACCGGCCATGCAATGCCGGTCAGACCGCCCTGTCTACCTGGTCAGACCGGCCAAGCAGAGCCGGTCAGACCACAAGTCCACCACTGGTCAGACCGGCCGTGCAATGCCGGTCAGACCGCCCCTGGTCTGTGACTTCGCCAATTTCGTCCAAACATTTGAAGTTAAACATCGGCCTTTAGTATATAATTTTTCCTTCACATTAATTATAGCCAGATGCTTGGTGTATCAAATTATTGGACCAAAATTCCTTCTCTAGACATATAAATAATTATAATATCCAACTAACATGTTTAGATGAATACTAATTCAAGTGGCTTTTGAAACAATAATCATCATGGCATTAAAACACTTAGCCAATTGAAGTATGATCAATAATGAATCACCAAAGTCATATGTGTCACATACATAGATTCCAATAAACTACAAATGTAAGTAATCGGCTTGAGCATGTATGCAAAATATTAACAATGCCAATGTTCCTAAATAAAACAACTCTAGAACAAATCATCACATTGACCATTGACATTAGCCGAATTACTAATAAGAAAAATTTTCATGACGCGATAAACATGAAATCTATATATTATATGGTGATCCATAAAAACATGTATGATTTGGCTTTTAAGAAATATTAAAGACTCATGAGCCAAATCATACTTCAAATAAAATATATGCCAACTTACCAATTCCACTACTTAGAACTGGCATTTGCAACATGTATGTATAATATCAATTTGATAAGCAAAAACACACATGTGCTAGATAGCAAGCAATGTTCTTAACATGGCATAGGCATATAACAGTAAACACAATAAACTCATACCTTGCCTTAGCATCCAACGAACGGCGGCTCAAAGATCTGATGTCGTATCCATCGCTGTTCATCTCTCTTGATTCCTTTATGAGCATATTAATGTCTTGCCCCCCAAGCAAAATCGGCTTTCTAGATTGCATGATTTCGAAGGCAAGATGGATACCGCACTAATCCCCATAGCATCATGTGGAGGAGACTTATCTCTAATGACCGATGATTCTTCTCTCATCAAATTGGATTTGTTACTTCTATGGGAAATCACCGATCTCTTAACTTTTACTACTTTAGGTCTCCACACTCGCTTAGGTGTTGTTTGAGGCTCTAAATTATTAGATGTTTTGTTCTCCACATCTTCGGCCTTCTTTTCTTTTTTACCTATGGCCCGAAGATGTTGTAGCCTCCTATTTTGAGAGCGAGATAAGCCAGAAGGTATCCACTTCGGCTATGGTTGTTTTCCAGGAGCTAAGCAATGATTCTTGATATTTTTGGTCGAAGTGGAAGCTCCTATGTTGTTCTCAATTTTCCCACTCTTCTCTAATGCCCCCCGGTCCGACCGGTCTCTAGACCTGGTCTGACCGGCCGCAAGCCGTCGGTCAGACCGGCCAGGAGGGTCGGTCAGACCGGCCGTAGTCTGGCGGTTAGACCGGACAGCTATCTCGGTCAGACAGCCGATGTCGACAGCAACAGCATCGGCCTCAGTCTTCTCCGCTTGTATAGTTTTCAACACATCTCCAGTAGGTACATGAACATCTTGAGATTCCTCATTGATAGTAACGACCTCCGGAGCTTTGGCTTCTTTCCTCACCCACACCTTCTTCACCTTTTTCACCTTTGATCCACCAGACCGATTCTTTTGTGGGAAACGGTCTTGTCTTAAGTTAGAATGACTTGGTACTATCCTAGGTGATTGCTTCCATGCTTGATGACACGGCATAGGTGGTTGAGGCATCCATGGCATGTAATACATAAAAGGATAACCAAATGGCGACATTGGATGTGAATACCATGGCATCACAACCGGAGGTTTGTATGGAGTTGGTATAGTTGATGGCTCCGATTTCTTTGGTGTTTGATCAAATCTCTCCCTACGAGATGATCTTGGTCTTTTTGAATCACTAGTTTGATTATCAAATCGTTGACCGGCTAATCCTTTCTTGTACTTAGCCATAAGCATCTCAAAAGTGAGCTTCGGCTTTTTGGTCTTTTGGGAACTAGATGACTCATTCTTTGCAACTTTATGATCTTCGGCCTTCGCATTTTTGATCCTATTCTTGGGCGGAGGATCCCCAATAATAACACTTTTCCCTTTCTTTTTGCCAACATCAATAGAACTAACAGGGACAAGATCACTAACAATTCCGGTCTTAGGGATAGATGTAACCGAAATAGTTTCACAAGTGACCGATGAAGTATCAATCGGTCTTTGCTCCATCAAGCTTGCATCTTTGAAATAACCATGAAACTCATGCTCCATTTGTGACCATGTAGAAATTGAATTAGGAGCAAGCGAACTAAACCATATAGATGCAAATCATTACTACCGGCCTTACCTCATTGATCAATAAATTGGCCGATATGCTCCATTGTTGTTCTAGCATCCTCACCTGTGAATTTTGTGAAGTTGGGCACCTCAAAACCTTGCGGGTATGGGACCGAATCTACATGTTCAGGATACAGCCTTTGATATGTATGCATAACTATTTTAGATTCTATCTCACATACTATCCCGCAAGACATTATCATTATTTTTTCCAACATCCACATGACCGATTTTTGATTCGGTCTTAGGTGACAATGCTATTTCACTTTCACTTGTGATATAATCCAAACCGTCACTTAGTTCGGCTATATTTTCAATGATGTCATTGTCTAAACTAGCAACACAATCCGAACCACTACTTGATTCAGCTATTCTATCATCGTTTAAA